TCTCGAAAAAGTGGACATGTCGCTCCTCAACCGCAAAAGCACGAACTTTCCCGGACTACCCTAAACCCTATGACCCTAAGCCAACGTTTCTCTTCAGGAGCTAGCGCTGTCCGGACCTCTTTCGAGGCGAAAGCATGACTTCGGAGATTTACTGTACGGGTTCCTACAAGGTACGGTTGATGATATAAATCCTGCATTACCCAGAATAAGGAAATATCCAAAATTTCCATAGTTTAGGGTCCTTAAGGTAATGCAGGTTTTATATCATCAACAGTATGAGAGGGTTACCATAAGGGATACGAGAAGGGCAACACTGAGGGTTCCTACAAGGCTCAGTGTAACGGTAAGGTCATCCGGTTATCCGAAGGCAGTGCATGTTGCGCGCCTCTGTCAGTTTGAAGAAGCCGTTGCATGTTTGCGTTTGGCAATTCGTAGCTTGACAGGTCCTCAACCTACTGCCGCTCCTCACCGTCGTCTTCAGGATCGTGCTCCATTCGGAAAGAAGTTTAGGTTCTTTATGAACAACCGCAACAGCCTGTCCACAGCCAAACTCTGCACCTAAAAAGTTTGAATCCAAAATCCAATCCCCGGTAACCTTTCGATGCCTCCACTTGTGAGTGCGGCATGGCTTCGCGAGTTTGCAGCACGAATGATGAGTGCCTGAAGTTCAAGTACACCGAGGGCTCATATGCACAGCAGCAGCTCCATCAGCTTTGCGTGACCTACAAAACTATATGCAGAAGTTTTTTTGCTGGGCCTCTGCAGAAAAGTAGCTTACAGGTCAAGGTACTCCTGAACCTGCAGGTTAAAGTGGCTCCCGTTCACGGGCAGATGTGTCGATTTGCTCACTGAGATGCATGCTGCGTAGTGGACATATCTACTATAGTACTATAGGGGCTTAAATAATTACCAATACTATTGCGGGGGGTTCCTTATTATAACTATAGTATCATGGGGCCCAAAACCCTATTCTAATTATTGAGGCTCTCTTTTATAGGTATTTGTAATTACTGTCTTCTTCTTATTGGTAGCAGCAGTAGTCGTCGTCGTCATCTTATGATTGGGGTTGTTACTATTGCTACAACAAATATTAATGTTCTGTTTTTGTCGCTACTCTCATGTGAGGACGGCGGCGCAAGTTGGAGGAGCCAAGTGGCGAGGTGTCTGGAGTTTTGAGTAGGTCTGTGCTTTTGAGAAGCTGCTGTCGCGACCGATCAACTCTCAGCTTCTGGCGGGGTGTAAGCTTCCCAGAAATCTCTATCCCAGCCTTCCGACTTGAATCACTGCTACCATGATATAGCATGATACACTACAAGACTTACACCATCATATACTGTCATATACCATCATATACCGATCTAATTAATGTAAACTATATAATATACTAACTACGCAGATGCTACTCTTTCGACGTTTGCTCTATGCTGACTGAAGCCGGCCTTGATCCAGGTCGCTCACTCGCGCCGCTTGCTGCTGACCAGCCGAGGAGCCCGACAGTTTGAGTGGTGCGCTTAGATTCTCGGAGGGAGAGTTAAGAGATGTCAGGGTTTCAGGTTCATGGGCTAGGGTTTAAGGATTTGCGTTTAGGGATGAGGGTTTAGGGTTTAGGAAGGAGGGCTTGGGATTGGGGAGTGTCAGAAACCAGGAAGGTTATTGAAATGAGTCTTGAATCATCGTGTTCAGAAGCCGGGAGGCTTTGGACCCGGTTGAGAGTTTTGGGTTTGAGGTGTACTTCAAAGGTTCATGGGACTTTGTAGCTATGGTTATAAACAAGGTAACTATACTCATTATTGGATATAACCCCAGTTAGGGTACTTATAACTGGACTTACTAAGTCCCATGGACCCCCAAGTAGGATTTATGGTTAGGGTGTGGCCTGCTGAGGTTTCACCCCTTGCGCCCTGGGACAATGTTGGTCGGCAGGAAAGATGGCGCCTCGGAATTGATTGGCAATGGAAGGGGCTATTCCTGTAGTTTCCTGCTTATACTATCTTTTGATGACACAATGACAACATACTTCCGAAACCCTCTTCTAAGTATAAACTCAGGCCCGTGCATTAAAGTCTTTCACTGGGACACACTCCCTCGTGTGCGGCTGGAAATTTCTGTTCTGCTCGTTGCAGATGCAGCACTCCGGGCTTGTCATTTCTTCGGGCAGTTGGGTTTGGAGCGGTACGGTCCAGCAGCCGTAGCGGAGCCTTGGTCCAAGTGGTAAAGGTGATTCATAGATTGGGAAGTAGCATTGTCGGGTATATAACAGGCGAATGCGTGACACGCGGTTCAGCAGCAAACTGTCCACTGCGTGCTGAAGCCCGACAGCCGAATCTTTAGATGCTCGTTTTGCAGCAAACCAAACCCCTCCGAACCCCTAAACCCTGAACCCTAAGCGCTAAACCCTAAGCCCTCAACCCTAAACCCTAAGCCATAAACCTTAAACCCCAAGCCCTAAACCCTAAACTCTGAGCCCTAAACCCTAAGCCCTAAACCCTAAACCAGGCACCGCAGGGATCATCAACTACGACTCCGACGTCATGAGCCACAGCTGTGCCTGGAGCTCGGAGCGGGCCCAGGAGGTGACCGAAAGAATCAGCAGCATAATATATATATATATATATATATATATATATATATATATATAGGGGTTTAAATAACTACCTTTAAATAACTACCTTTACTATAGTATACAATACTCCAAAACCCTGTTGTATTTTTATAAGGCCCCTATATGAGTGATAAGGCTCAAGCAGGCACCTCTACGGCCTACTATAAGGGCTCTATTATAAGGATTTAACATAAGGGCCTTAATAATTATCAAAACTACTTTTTGTGGTTCCTTATTGTAAATATGGTGTATGCGCCCCCTTCTAATGATTAAGGCCCCTATACTAATCAGCATTTCAGACTGGCCAGGCTTCACGTCTTAATGTAGGAACCTGATTAAGAAACCCAGGGCCTATAACCCCCAAGTAGGAGGATTCATATACGGAACCCTGATAAAGGCACAGGGTTGCTTAATCAGGTTCCTGCATTACACAGTTCTTGCATGGCTCATCCCGAAGCTAAACTCTAAACCCAAACCCCTGAAGTTCCTAAACGCTTAAACTCAAAAAGAGCCGCCCAAACCCGAACCCTCCAAACGGCCTAAACCCCCGAAGCACCCTGAAACCCTTCAAGCCCCAAAAGCCCTTCTTGATCCCTCAAGCCCCCAAAGCCTGACCTCTAAACCCGAAACCCTAAACCCTAAACCCTAACCGTAAACCCGAAACGTCTCTTCCTCCTGCGAAGGTTGTAGATCAGTTCCCCATACTGGGACTCTCGTGGTTCCACACGCTGCCGCAGTGGGCAGTTGTAGGAGGCCCGGGGTTTTATTGGGAGTTGCTGAAAATTAGGGGCCCCTCATTTTGGGGTCCTTACAACTCCCATTTGCAGGTTTCGTCTGGGTTTAATGTAAGATTTTGAAGGTCAGGGTCCCCTGTAGCTTCAGGGTTCGGGGGTTGCGGGTTCAGGGCTTAAGTTTCTTTTTTTTTTAAATTTGGGTTTTGCCTTGAGAGCCACCCCAGCAATCCTCGGCAGGATCCCAGTCTGGCGTCATTCGCTTCTTGCGGTACGACGAGGGTCTTCCAGGAAAGCTACATAGCGCCTGGACTGCAGCTATGGGTTCCCAGAGACTCCGGTATCATTTTGAGTAAGGAGTATATACCTTAACTTATGAATTATAGGAGGACCCTTGATATGATTTTTTGTATATTCCCTAATTCAGGGATCTTTGAGTAAGGAATGTATACCGTAAATTATGGTAGGACGCCCTAGTATAGTTTATGGTATATTCCCTAATCAAGGCATGTTGGAGTCTAACTATGAGTGTAAGGTTTAGGTTTGCAGGAGTGTTGCAAAGTGGGAGCACCGGAGACCAAGAGGAAAGCGAAGTACTGGATTTGTTTTCCTTTGCGGTTCATTGACGTGTTGCGAGTAAAATATGCTAAGCTTAGGTTTCGGAGGTTGTTGTTCAGTTCGATAGAAGCAGTCAACCTGTTCAGGAGGCACAATCTTACTTGCCTGAGTCATACTCATTCTGCCGGCTTTTTGGCACTACGATTAAGCGGAGCGCAGCATTGCTCAAGTAAATGCCCCACATTTACAGGAAGGTTTAGGGTTGGTGGTTTAGGGCTTTTATGAGTTAACGGTCTGGGGACATGGAGAACGGACATGTACCCAAGCCCCGGGAGGATCCAAAAAGTCGATCCCTTAATGGGGGCTCCTATAAAGTACCCTTAGTAGTATAGGGCCCCAAATTAGGGGATCTACTTTCTAGATGTTTTATTGCTCTTTGTACGTATGACTACGGACATATTGTTGCATTGGCTCAAGACAAAAAGCGTGTGTGCGATTCGTGCTATCGTGCACTATCTATAGGTTATCAGCCGTAGCCTAGTCCAGCCATATCCTTTTCCAGGTCGCTCCTGAAATCCTGCAGGTCATACCGGAATGGAGGACACAGCCGAGCCAGTGCCAACGGGTATCTCAGATATGACATTGGCAACTGATGAAGCAAGTGATCAAGGATTTCCTCCATTAATGCCAACAGGTGATAGTCATTTGCCGAATGACGGACTGGCAATTGTGTCACATGATGCAGCGTACTCTCCAATTGATTCGTTGCTTAGAGAACGTGTCCCTACTACGCCAGGATCTATTGCACCTGTTATTCCGGTAGGAATACCTGGACCATTGGCACATGCTACGGGCGTGCCCAGCCCATCAACACCAATTTATTCACCTCACCTTCATCAAGCAAACCTCACCCAGAACCTTCAGGTTGTCGATGCCAGGCAGTTGACGATTAATCAGGACACATCTCCGATGGTCGCCTTTGCCGCCGAGGCACGACACAATCAGATTATCGGCGAATTGGGAGCAGAACATCAGGAGCAGCTCCGTGCAATGTACAATAGTGGATGCTAACATTGCGTTGTCGATTCAGAGGTCTGAAATGGGTCAAGGTGAAGCTCGTTTCCAGCAAACCGAAAGCGCGAGGGAACTCGCTGTCCTTGAAGCCAACCGGCAAGCGGAAGCTGCCCGTAGAGCTTTAGAGGAAGCCAACAGCAATGCCAGGCGCCTTCGCGAAGTGGAAACTTCTGCCCGTCAGAATGATGCGATGCGATCCCATGAGGTCGCTGACATGTCATCTCGGATGGATGAACTGATGAGGCAGCTTCATGCCCAGCGCCAGCAGACTGAGGTATTGATTCATCAGAATAACGCATTAAGCTCCAGGGTTCGAGATTTCGAAGCTAGAGATGCTGCTTTGAAGATTCAAGAGGGAATTCCACAAGGGCCTCCACCTGGCATTCCCGTACACCCCATTTCCACTCCGAAGCATGGAGGTGACACTCCTACGGAACAGGCGACGGACGGAAGGCGAACCCCTCCGGATGGTTCCAGCCCAGGTGGCGGTGGTGGCGGCGGGCCTGATGGCAACGGCCCCAGTGGAGGCGATGATGATCATGATCGTCGCAGTCGGAAGTCCAAGAAGGATAAGAAGCATAAGAAGAAGAAGTCGCGCAGGCGACGTAGGCGAGATCCTTCATCCTCCCCATCTAGCTCTAGCAGTAGCTCTGATGATTCGAGTTCTTCCTCATCCCGCATTGATAAGAAGACAATGAAGAAGCTCCTTAAGCGGATGAGTGAAGCCTTTGGTGATCGTGGTGAAAAGCCCGATAAAAACGACAAGCCCAAGGTGAAAGAAGCTGAGAAGATTACCTTCCCCAAGTTCCCGCAACCGGAAAGCTACAGGAATTGGAGGCTAAGGGTTCGTGAAGCGGTTGTTGCCGCGTCTGATCGTCCTGATGATGCCTTTTCGTGGCTTTCCAAGGTTTGGGAGAAGGATGTTAAGGAAGATGATCTTCGCGACCCGGAAGGGTTCGTCACCTTGGATGCTAAGGTACTGTCGGCGGTCACTAACATCCTGGAAGGTGCTTTTGCGAGACAGGTTGATACCTTCAAGGAGCGAGAGGCGAATGCCGGAAGACTTGTTCGGTTGGATAACTTCTTTTCTACCAACGCACAGCATGGTTCGGTTTACGAGTTCGAAGATCTCTTGTCAGTCAAGATGGTTAACGAGAAGCTTGAGACGTTCATGCACAACTGGGAAACTGTATTGTCAGGGATCCAGACTACCCCCGATGAGAACTTCCTTGAGCCCTTGTTCCATAGGCAGATTAAGCGCTTCAAAGACCTCGCACATGACATCAACATTTATGAAAGGGCTACACCAGGGCAGCCAGAGAAGACCTACAAATTTTTGTATGATGCGGCTACGAATTACTTGAGTCGCAAGCGTCTTGAACGCAACCGGGAACGGATTGCCAAGCAATATGGTGCTGATGGGAAACCATCCGCCCCCGCTCCCAAGAAGAAGTTTGTCCCTAAGGGATTTTGTTTTGAGTTCGTACAGAGTGGTAAGTGTAGCAAAGGAGACAAGTGCAAGTACAAGCATGAGGTCCCTGAGAAGAGAGGCCGGTCGCATTCAAGAGGTGGAGGCCGCACTCGTTCACCATCCGGCAACAACAATGACGGAAAGCCCAGAGAATGCAAGTTCTGGAAGAGTGGGCGATGCAAGAAAGGAAGTGCATGCACGTTCCTCCATACAGGCAAGCCAAGCGCTGCTGCGACGTCACAAGGCGGCTCTCAGGGGGGAAGACCAGGAAGCGCAGGCAGCAAAGGGAAAGACAAGAAAGGCCATCGTAAGTCGCGGTCCAACTCGAAGGGCTCTCAAGGGTCGAAGAACTCTAAGGGCAGCAAGGGTTCGGACAAGCGAAAGGGCCCTAAGCCACCAAAGGTTCCCGCTGCAGTCTGCATCCTAGGGGCATTGATCGCCGCGGCATCGGGTACCCAAGCCGACGCTGCTTATGCATTCCGGAAGGATATGCCCGATAGTCGTGGTGACATGTCATCTACCTTTTCATGTGCGTTGCCAGCCATTCGTTTCGACGATAATCCGATGCTCATCAACATCCCGCCTGACGGAAAGATGTTGCCGACCGAACCCGAGACACGAAGGTACTTGAAGTCCTTCGGTGGGGAACCTCCTAGACCCAGTCAACAGGATGTCAAAGACGCACTGACGACTGCCAGGATGCTTAAAGCAACTCTGGATGCATATGGTTCCGGGATAAGGGCTAAATGCGGTTATGAATGTGACACGGAATTCGGTTGCGACAAGTGCATTCCGAAACACATTGAAGCTACCTGTGTTGCAGCAACCAAAGCAGAAGCCCAGCAGCTCGACATCGAGTGGATCGCGGATACCGGCAGCGCTCAGGACCTGGTATCACAGGGGGATCTCGGATCTTTGAGAAGCCATCGTTCCCAAAACCCTATCGGTATTGTGACGGCTAATGGGCCAAGCACTGCTGAAATTCAGTCTAACATCGCAGTTCCTTCATTGGGAATTGACAGCCATCCATATGTGTTGCCTAGCACACCTTCTGTTCTATCCGTTGGTTACAGATGCATGGAGGAGGGGTTCGATTTCGTTTGGAGATCGGGTACAAGACCTTACTTTCAGTCATCTAGCGGTGAGCGGATATACATGGATGTGAAGGATTACGTCCCCTACCTCAAATCTTGGAAGGAAGGTGTGGCGGTACCTGCGAGGCGGAAGCCCCAGCCCAAAGAGGATCACAAGAATGATCTGGTTCTTTCGCTTGAAGAGGCTGAGGGATATGCAAGGGAACTTCGGATCAACGGCGACTTTCGTCTGGGATCATGTTACAAACTTTTGAAATTGACACCATTCAAGCCAACAGGGAACTCGAGGAGAAAGCTACTGAGAACGACGACTCGGTTGAAGATGAAGTTGGCAGGGACTACATAATCATTGGCGCTTGGATTTTCAGCGGGATGACCGGGATCACAAATTCTGTTGATCGTCATGCTCAGCTGATCAAGTGCCTGATCGCCTTCATGAAGTCAAGAGGGTTGAAAGATACCTTTACGTCTATCTGCATCAACCATGGTGGCAATCGCCGTGTGCATCGAGATTTGTTGAATCATGATAACTCACTCAATCACACTCTAGGCGTTGGAAGCTATCAAGGTGGTTCCGTATGGGTTGAGCAGAAGGATGACTTCCCCGTATTTCGCGGAGAAGGTGTAGCTGGTGGGAAATCAAAGTGCGTCAAGGTTAAAGGGGCACTTGAAGTCAACGGAAGAGTATACGACACTCATGATCGAATGTTATCCTTCCACCCCAAGCTTTGGCATCAGGCACAGCCTTGGACAGGTGATCGATGGACCATCACTGCATACACGATTCGGGATGTAGATGGTTTGAGCTGGGAACAGTCAAAGTCGTTAATGTCGCTTGGGTTTCAGTTGAATTCATCAAGACGGTTACCATTTGTTCCATCGTTGATTACCGGCGACAGCGATGAAGAGCTCACACTTTACGACTTCGTGAAGAAGAAGAAGGCCGAGAAAGATAAGGTTCCTGAACCAGCTCCTCCCTTGATGAAGAGTAAGGCTAAGTCTAAGCCCAGCAAGCCTGATGCCGGGCGGAAGCCTGAGCCCGAGTGAGAAGGGTGCAGACATGTCTGATCTTTTTGATATTGAGGAGCATTTCGATGAAGCCGGGGAGTTGAAAAGTGCCGAGGATCAGCCACCTCCTCGTCCTGTTCCCGCTGAGGCAGACAAGCGTTCTAAAGGAGAGAAGGTTTTACGTGAAGAAGCTAAGAGCAAACATCATCTGATGACTCACGTCCCAAAGAATCCCTTTTGCCCTACATGCCAAAGAGCGAAGATGTTCAAGCCGCCTTCGTATCAAACGAATGGTTCCAGGTTCATTGAGTCTGAGAAATTCGGCGACCATCTCACTGGGGATCATCTCATTGTCTATCGCGACAACGAAGAAGAGATTAAGGATTCGCGATTAGCTTTGGTTATGAAGGACGTGGCAACAGGTTTCCTCGCGGCCTATCCCTCCGGACGGAAGTCTCAGGACGAGTGCTACAAGGCGCTCAACCATTTTGTTGCTAACAAGGAAGATGTTGGCATCTTCTACAGTGACAATGCTCCTGAAATCAATGCGGCAGTAGAAGAAATGAGCTGGAAGCATGAACATTCTAAGGCCTATATCCATCAGTCCAATGCCATGGCTGAGCGTGCGATCAGGACTGTTACGGAAGGCACCAGAGCGAATCTGGAGCAAGCTGGTCTGGCTCATGCTTATTGGCCTCATGCCTTACAACATGCTTGTGTTGCTCATAACATAAGCCATCCCAATGGTACGAAGTACTCTTCATGGACTTTGCGGTTCGGCAAGGACTTTCATGGGCCATTAATTCCATTTGGTTGCCGAGTAGACTACTGGGTCGGTACTCGTGAACAGCGGAAGCTGCAAGGGTATGAAAGGTTTGAGAGTTCATCAGAACATGGGATCTTCATGGGATATCACTTCCAACCAGGAATGCGTTGGCGAGAAGAGATGTTGGTAATTCCGATATCTAAGCTGAACGGAAGTGACTTCTACGAGTACCATAAGCCTATCAAGGTGCATCAATTGAAAGTGCCTGACGGTGAGTTCACTTTCCCCATGATCGACCGTTATAACCGTGTCCGAGATGGGCTAGCGCATGACGCCATTGAGAAGCCTGTCGTTGAATCTCTGAGAAATCAGGATGCGGAACCAGTCGTAAATCCTCCTGGGGACGGTGAGGCTGAAGTAGAAGTACCTAAAGTTATCGATCCCAAATCAGGTGATCTCGTTGATTTGCCCGAAGGCGGACGCTTCTACGACTCCGGTGGAACTCTTGGTAGGAGATATGGAGGGTCCAGAGGTTCAAAGAAGCCGGATAGCATTCCTTCTCACATATGGGTCAACTTGTCCAAGAACCAGAAAGATAAGGCGATAGCGGAGGAAGCATCGAAGATCGCTAGGGAATATCATGAAGGTGCCGATCGAGCGGGTGGTGGGTCATCTAGTTCAAGGCCTGCTGCGACGCTTGGTGCATCCCGAGATCGATGGGAGATCAAGGGAAACAAGTTGGTGCGGTGTCATTGTGTTCCTAGGCGAGAACTTTTCTCTCCTGATATCACCGATTGTCCCATTCCCACTTCTAGGCTAAAGCCGACAAGGATCTTGCAGATCATCCTATAAGGGTTTACGAAAACCGTTTCGGCATGGACTTGTGGCAGGAAAGCCCACCCAGACCTCTTTTTCATTCAATCCACACCCCACCCCCGCCCACTAGTAAACCCCACCACCCATCCCAACGAACCACCCACCGAACCACCCCAACCCACCACCCACGGGCTCAAACGGCTCAAACAGGACGTGTCAGTCGTGCGTGTGCAATCAAAAACATCCTTACAACCCTTAGACCCTAACCCCTAAACCCGAAATCCTAATCTTGAAAGCGAACTGAAAGTTGTTTGCTGTGGAACTCGAAAGCATCCTTTCTAGCTTTTTACGGCGTAGAGTTTTCACATGCTGTTGTAATTATTGTGAAAGAACGGCCACGTGTGCGCGATCCAAGGCCTGCAGATCAGCAGATTCCCAGTGGGTGGGTGGGTGGGTGGGAGGAAGGGGTGTGGAGGTTTTTTTTGGGGTGGTGGTGCCTAATTACAGCGCTTTGTTCAGTGTGTCGCCATGAATAATTGCTATGTTGTGTGAACAAAAGTGTTCTCCCTTAACATGTGTCCCTTGTGGGATCCGCCGTGAGTCCCGCCCCACATCAAACGATCACCTCGCAACCCCGTGCCCCGAGGCCACTGCCTATCAGCGCCCCCTGTCAAGGACACCCCAACCCACCCCAAAACTCCTTAAAATGAGCCCCGCCGCCTGGGGTGATCATTTGATTTTGGAGCCCCAAACTCCCTCATAACCGCCTGCTCCAAACACCTGCCTGTCAGTGTCGCCGGGTCAAGGCCAAACTCCCCAACCCGCCCCAAACCGCCTTAAAAAAAGCAACAAGCCACCCCAAATCAAACCATCACCAAGACACTGGGGTGATCATTTGGTTTTGGAGCTCCAAACCCCTAAATCCCCTGCTCCGAGGCCACTGCCTATCAGATGTCTCGCTAAATGTGCCGTTTCAGGCAGATTGGTGGGTAGCTGCGTTTTTTAACGCGCCTCAGGCATCATGAGGCTTGGGGGAGCTGTTTGGTGCTGTCTGTGGGGTTTGCTCGACCTGCTCGACCGTGCTCGACCCTCTGCTCGACCCTGGGCTCGACCGGCTCGACCCTGCTCGACCCTCTGCTCGACCCTGGGCTCGACCTGCTCGACCCTGCTCGACCATTTGCTCGACGCATTTCGGTGCGCATCTTGTCTCTGTGCGTTTTTGGTGGGTTTTGCAGGCATCATGGGCATCGTTCCGTTCTTTTCCCTCCATTTCTGGGCATTCGGGCATGAATCATTCCGCTGGCGATGATTTTGGAGCTGTTTTGTCTTCCTTCAAGCCAAACACTCCCCGTTTGGCAGAATCCAATCCAAATCAGCTTTGTGTGACCATTTGCTCGTCGACTGCCAGACTTTTCGGGGTGTGTCTTGTCTCTGTGCGTTTTTGGTAAGCTTTGCAAGCATCATGGACATCGTTCAGTTCTCTTTTCCTTTCATTTCTGACGGGCATTCGGACATCATTCCACTAACAATGGTTTTGGAGCTATTTTGTATTCCTTTTTGTATTCCTTTCAAGCCAAACACGCTCCGTTTGGCAAATTCCATCCAAATCAGCTTTGTGTCCCATCGTTTCCGGATGAGTTTCACGAATTTTCTCATAACGACGAATTGGTAACCTTGAGTTGTCTGTGCATGCAAAAACTGAAACCCCAGAGTCCCTAACCCTAATTAACCCTAGCGCCAAGGCTCAAACAATGCCTCAAGATTTGGCCCAAGGTTCCGCGCGAGAAAACCTGGCCCTGGTGCCATGTGTGGCCCCCTAAACGCACGTACTACTAGGGCCATTTTTGACCCACATGGGCTAGATCACGGCTCTGAGGGCCAAGGTCCTGGGTGGAGTGTGGGTGACAAGCCCAGAACCAGGGGAAAGCTGTGCTCAAACTCAGAAGCTCCATCATAGCAGCTTCAATCCAACGCTTTTGCAGTCTGCCCCCATGTTTCAACACAACGTGCAGCCATGTTTCCGCCTGGCTTCGACTAGACCTCCTGTGTCTCACCATGTGTGTGCATTTGCGGTACCGCAGTGTCGCTTGATGCACGACCCCCTCTGCCAATCGGTTTTCGTAAACCCTTGTAGATCATCCCCGTGGGAACGGAGGACACTGTTGCTGATGAAGATGATTGGACAAACCCGCGTAGAAGGAACAAGAAATTGCCTTTTAGATGGACCGGCAAAACCATCTTTGAGATCCTACCCTTGGGTACTAGCAGTGCTCATATCGTGGGGGAACCCTATCCGACTATGCCAACTATCCCACGTAGTGGGGAACATCGCGAAAAGATTGGTAATGATTATCAGTTCACCCAATCTGAGCTGGAAGTCATGATGGCCTTAGTCGCTCGTCCGGTTGGCAAAAAGGAGCTCGCCGAGAACAGCGATGCCCAGAAATCACTCGATGTGGAATGGGATAAGTTGATGCAAAAGCGAGCCTGGGATATGGATAACCCACGGGAGTGGTCAGAGATCTCGGCGGAAGCCGTTAGACGGGGTCGCAAGGCCCATGTTGGACGTGTTTTCGAGATCTGCGTAGAGAAAGGGAGCGAACTCCCCAAAGGCAATCCCCTGAGGAAATTCAAAGGCCGAACGGTCTTCCAGGGTAATAATGTCCAGGACGAAAGCAGCAACGCCGCCCTGTTCTCGGAGTTAGGTTCGAGCCCTGCTTCGATGGAGGCGGGCAAGGTGCTGGATGCGTACGGATCTCAGCCCGGTTTCGCCTGTGAACAGGCCGACGGTAAGCAAGCTTATACTCAGACGACTTTAAAAGGCGCTGAAACTTGGGTTCGATTGCCAAGGGAGCGGTGGCCTAAGTCCTGGGTTGGTAAGTTTAAGGATCCAGTCGTTCGGCTTTATCTTGCGCTGTATGGACACCCTGATTCGGGGGGCTTCTGGGAGAAGCACTGTGAGCAGAGACTCAAACAAGTGGGTTTTGATCTTCTGTTTCCTTCTTCATGGCCTTCGGTTGTCTTTCATCCTAAGCTCCGCCTACTTATTTTAGCTGTCTACGTCGATGATTTCAAGATGGCTGGACCTGCTGCGAACATGCAGGAAGGGTGGAAGCTGATCGGGTCCAAGATCGATATGGATAGCCCGACTCCACTTGGAAGATACCTTGGGTGTGAACATGTTGAGAAGAAGAAAGTTCAACTGGGAACAGCTGACCATCCCTTTGCCCACATCTTTGACAAAAGCATTCCTGACCCTGCAGCCAAACCTTCGGTTCCGGCTACATCCCAGGATTATACGGAGTACTATCCTGATGAAGGTGTAATCGTTCGCCATCATATGCAGCCTCGCAAAGCTAAGTATGCTGTTAGCGCTGCGGAAGCAGACGTCCTGAACATCGGCGACCTGCGGTTGACCGAGCGTCAGCTTCTTGGAAGTACTTCTGCAGAAGAACAATGGGATGATGGTTTCCGGGGGGGTAAGGCTTCGGGACTTTGGACGGGAACCACTTATTTGTTTGATCGTGGTATTGACAAGCACCATGCCGTGGCTGCTGTTAAGCGCATTCGTGACAAGAACACTGCTAAAAAGGAAGCTAGGAAACAGGCTTTCTATGACATCAGCCAATTGTCTAGTGGCACCGGATGCATGAAAGAACCCGTCAACATCATCGAGTATGACATGAAGTCTTTTCTTGAACAAGCTGTACAAAAGTACAAAGATCTTGCTGGCCCCAAGTACCACACCCTTAAGTCAGCCTCTACTCCATTCGCCGACGAGAAGATCGCGAGGCCCATCGATGATGAGGCCGAGGCAAAGGGTGAATTCGCTCCTATCGCTAGCCGAGTTCTGATGAAGCTTTTGTTTGCTGCCAGGATGGCTCGTTATGATTTACTGCGGGCTGTTCAGGGATTGGCTAGCAGGGTTACCAAGTGGTCTGCTGAATGTGATCGGGCTTTACACCGATTGATGTGTTATGTGAATTCCACTCTGGACTTGAAGTTGAGAGGATTCCTCGGTGACCCGATTGACCAATGCAAAATATGGTTGTTTGCTGATGCAGATCACGCTGGTGAGCATGATAACAAGAGTACATCAGGATGTTTTGAGGCTTTGGTCGGACCAAACACGTACTTTCCTTTGGCGGCTTACAGCAAGAAGCAAACCTCAATTTCTATTAGTTCTACCGAGTCCGAGGTTGTGTGCGCCAATATAGCTTTGAGGACTGTTGGATTGCCATCCTCCGCTTTGTGGAGTGTGCTCCTGAAGGCAGGGGGGGGGTTCAGACGCATCAAAGCCGTGCGCACCCCGGAAGGGAGATGCCTGTTTGGCCAAATTCCCAGATAAGGATGTTGCTTCTCAGGTACCAAAGACTGGTAGACACGAACTTATTGATTGTCGAGTAGCTGTTCTTTCAGGCGGTGATAGTATCCCTGAACCCGTTGAGCTTGCATCCCATCCTCTTCGAGATGTGTGGTTGCTCCGGGGGGACAAATGGTCCAGAACAGAAGAAGCTGTTGCTTGGGAAGAGCTCGAGAATGCCTCCTATATGGTTCCGAAGGATGCCAAAGCCATCTTGTGCTTGTACCGGAAGTCATCATTGGAGTATCGTCGCTCTGCGGAAGCAGAAGCCGAGTTGAATTATGAGGCTTACAAGCTCCGTCACGGACTTGGCGACTTCGAGTACACCGATGATGCAAAGATCAGATCCGATCATTCATTGATCATGGCCGCACCACATTGTATGCAACCTGTGATGTTGGAAGATAACCAGGCCACTATTAGGATTATGGAATCAGGAAGATCACCGGCATTTAGGCACACAGACAAAACCCAAAGAATCAATCTCGGATGGGTATCGGAACAGTTCAGAAGGAAGCATTATGATCTCGCGTACATTAGTACCTTGTTGCAGTCTGCCGACATTTTGACTAAGCCATTTACCAACATTGACAAATGGAAGAGAGCGATTTTCCTCATTGGCCATGTCTATGTCAAGCCATCAAGGCCTGCTTCGCCGATCGTCGTGCCGGACAACCTCGAGAAGAGGATCGAGCCCGAGAGCAACGGGGTTCTCATCGAATGGGGACATGATCCGTCGTTCTCTCTGCTCGGAAGGGCAGACGATAATGGTAGCGGTAGCTCACCTGTCGTTCGAGTGACTCACAGCATGGACCTTAACAGTACTCAGACGAGTAGGGACTTGCTCAAGGTTGTCAAAGGCTATGCCAAATCGAATGTTCCCATTACCGTTTGGGTTGACCTGCGCTTTACGGGGGGTCCTGATGACCGCAAACACTTCGGCAAGCTATGGTCTTCTTTCGTCAACTTAAGCACCGGTTTGGATCTGAATAACTGTCGTTATGTCGTGATTGCTCCCTGGGATCATTTCTCATGGAAGATGGATCGAGTTATCAAGTGGTGTTCCAATCACGAGTGTACGAGTTTCGAAATTCTTGATGACGAAAGATCAGGCAATTTAGGTCATTGGAGATTGCATACTTCCTACAAGAATTTGCCAATTGAAGTGATGAACAATTTTCATGGCTGTAAGCTCAAGAACATTTTCGAGCCACGATTTCCTGCACGACAAGCTGCTGTTGCGGTACAAGTTACTCTGAGCGAAGATCCTATAGGAAGCGCAGCAGTGATGGCATCCCCTATGCCCACCGTCTCTCTTGAGGAGCGTCGCCGACGCATCGAGGCTTTCCGCAGGGCTCTTAAGGACCCTGAATGCCTCGCGGAAGCGATGGCCTTTGAGGAACCGGCATATTTTAAGGATGCCTATGGCGTCGTGAAGGAGGCGTACCAGTACAAGCTGGTGGAGCCTGTGGAGTCCGATCCGCCAGAGGCCTTTTTCCTCGGCCGTATCCGAAACGGCGAGTGGATTGGTCTGCGGAAGCAGTACCCCTATGCAGGTTTTCCCCTTCTGTACGAGATGTGGCACCGCCATTTCAACAGCCCGGCTCATCAGGGAATGCCAGTTGAGGGCTTCGAGCTCCATGGCGATTCCCTCCTGACGGAGTGGACAGAACTTGTCAAATCCTACCTCCGCGACCTGGCTTATGTGGGGCATGCCACAAACGCCGAAAGGGCTCTCAAGGCCACTGAGCCGTTTGATGTCTGTCACAGAGCGTATGTGCTATCCCAGGAAACCCTGGGTTACCACGAATTAATGCCAGCTGCCACGGCGTTGCTAGACTCGGTGTATACTCCAGCCCTTCGCAGAATCGAGCATCAAGAGCAACCAAGCTCTTATTTTATTATCGGAGGAGATAGCTCTCTCGCCTTGGTGACCCGAGACGGTGGACGCGTCCAGATGAAAGGGACGATGGAACCGTCACTCCGGGAGGAGATGACCAAGGACATCCGCATGGATGGCTGCTCGGTGATCATGCGCTGGGGAAAAGGGCTTGGAGACATCGTGTGGTACGTGGAACAGGAGCTCAACCGAGTCCAGAAGTGGAGGAACGGCCAGGAACCACTCGCACCGGAAGGTGTCGACATTATCATTCAATGGGGTGGTAATGACGTCTATGCCGAGTATGGTTACAAAGGCTTTTCCTTCCACATGCGCAATGCGTGGGTTCGTGTTGATGATGCATTGCATGACACCCTTTCCAACTGGGAGACCAAGGCACGCAAAGCCGTTGAAGACGCAAAAGATGCCCTGGTTCGTCTCTCATCCCGGAAGGGAGTGTCCTCTGTCACGCTGGTGGCTGGCCCCCACAACGGGGAATTCTACGGTCCCCCGGAGGTCTATGACCTGGAGATGGCCCGTCATTCCGACGAAGTCAAAGAGCGAGGGATCCGCATCGTCGATCCCCAGGCCCTCATCCTCGCAACAGAGCGATACGATGGGTTTCACATGGAGGCTACCCACGACAACGTGAAAGTTACCACCAATTGGTTCTTTCACCTCTGCTCTGTGATTATGTTCGAGCGTTGGCTTGTGAAGCACGCAATGGAGCTTAAGGCCAATTCGCGTGGCATCCTCTTCCACAACCACTTTCACCTCGGACTCGGCTTGGAAGAGCTCGACATTCTTCCTACTACGGACTTGCTTATCCCGGCGGAAGCTGAGATGGTGACTTTCCCACCTGAGGCACCGCCTGTCCAGCGCTTCCCAGAGGAGGAGATTGTCTTGAACCAGCCGATCCTCAGCTTGGAAAAGCTTGACGAGCTTGAGGGTGTACCGCCCACTGACTACGTCAATGAAGTGGCGAAAGAGTCAGAGGAGATCACGGTTGAGGACGTTGTGTCTCGTAACCCGAATCCGGAGGACGAGCACCTCACCGTGGAAGCGGTCGACCCCGGCTCGGAGATGGAACAGATCGTTCGGAACATGATTGAATCGGTGAACCTGGTGATGTCAGATAAGGAGGCTGAAGAGGTCGCCCAAGAAACGGGTGTTGCTCCCTATGAGTACGTTGAGCCGAATGTCACAGCTACATCCGTTGTGGATGGTGAGGCAGTCTCTACGATTGCTACTTCCGATATCCCGACGGAAGTCTGGGACTCTGGTCCGATGGCTGTGGACTACGGCGCAGACGATGATGAGGAGCATCCCCGCGGAAGTGGTGGACCCATCTGGCTTACTCCGGATCAGCTGCCTGATGTCAAGGGTCGCATGGGATACTTTCGCCTCACTGAGATGGAGTGTGTTTCGTTGGGCAAGAAGCTGTCGTGGCACTTGCGTGGGCATGCCAAGGACAAGGGATTTCGCACTGTTGAGTTCGATGATGAACAGGCCGCAGAGATCGGAGATGTTTTGAAGGTCATTGGCAAGCAATGGTCCCGCCTGACGGTGATGACCATTATTGACCTGTTGACGTCAGATCACTGTGACAAGGGCCGGTTCGAACTCCAGGCGGAAGCCTTGGACGAGGATACGCGATTGGGCCGGGGAACAAACTGGCACTTCACCCGTGTCCGAGCATTCCAGGGGCACAACGCCTGCTTGCTCGTCCTCGGCAGCGACCCGCTGAAGAACACTGTCAAGCAGTGAGCCCTCGACGACAAATGGATCCCGTCCTACGTCGATCTACCGATCACGGGTCCATACCCCTATCGGGCAACGGCCTTTGATCTTATGCCAAAGCTGGCGTATCACGCCACATACTGGCGAAATTTCACGAAAATCGTGAACACAGGCCTCATCCCGGGAGGGAAAATGACTTCGAAGGGCAACAGCGGGAGGCCCTTCAACATGTTCGCGATGGAGCCTCAGTGGGAACGCACCTCCAATCAGGGTGTCCGCCCTGGCGCCCAGCTGGAATTTGTGATAGACTTACAGCTCGCCGCTTGCGATGGCTGTCGGTTTTTCGAGACAAAAGCTGGAGCACTGCAGACGCCGGATTGGATCAGCAACCGGGCCATTCTGTATGCATACGATCGGTCGACTCAGGAGATGATCTGGGCGAACCGAGCATACGAACCAGCGCGGAAGTGCTTGGCCCAGGCGTGCAAAGACAAGAGCCTCAACACGCCGATTTATGGCGAGCGGGGTCACCAGGAGCTGATCGATGCAAATGGCTATTGCTACAACTACCTCGTGGCAGGCCTGGGGTATCGCAACTTCGACACCTGGAAGGACGCCGCTAAGGCATGCAAGGATGTCTATGACCTTGATTTCTACCCAACAAGCATGTGTGGTCTAGACATTCGCATCCCGGAAGGGCATGCCTTGCAAGGCTCAGAGTCATTGTACAAAATGGTGGTTCATGTAGCTCCAAAGCATCCCCATCAAAGATGCAACGATGAGTCGGATTGGCATCGCCAGGAGAACGTCAGCATTCCTTCTTTCGGTTGCCCAAGCTGCGGTACATCCAAGGTTGATGGTACGATCTGTTGTTTTCGATGTGAATCTCGATTGGAACCGCACTCAGATGTGAGCATGGCCTTGGAGAACACCCGCGCTAAGCAAGTTGCCGCCCGGAAGGGTGAGCCCCTGGATTACAGGGCATTGCAGCCAAGCGGGGAGGTCAACTCCAACCGTGCCACAGGCAACAAGAGGGATCGGAGCGCTGGCTCTGGCCCGGCCGCTGTTCGCCAACAGGCCGCCAAGTACCTCGGAAAGGCCCTGAAGGCGGGTTCTCGCACTGTTGTTGAGCGTCAGTCTCGTGATCCGTTCACGGCCTACAACAACGCAAGATTTGGCATATCCATCACAGGGCTTGAGCAACTCATGATTTTCGCCCGAATGAGGATCGCCAACCCGCCGAGGTCACGCCAGATGATCCACGACCGCACTGGCTTTGACGGCGCAGCCAAGGTGAGCTTCTCATTCCCACCGGAAGGTGAGGACCTGACACTTACCGACCACTGTTTTGTGGCGTTCGTGGACAGGTTCTATAAGCTTGACGAAGCCGCCCTGTTGGCGTTTGCCGTCCATCGCAACGGCTACGTCATGGACATTCTTGGCTTTAGCGGCCGCATATTGAAGCCGACTGGTCCCGTGGTGCAGATCTTGGCTAGGATTGTGGGATTCTTCCAAGACGAGGTTCGGCACGCAGTTGAGCGCGGTGAACAAGTGCCTGAGTTGGTTTTGCCTGCCAATCAGGAACTCCGCGTCCCGGAAGGGCTCGCCTCTCTTGGGGACAGACAGCTGAACGAACTTCTCATCAACACGAAGTTCGCGCGACAGCTCCCCGGCGCCAAAGGCGTCAATGAGAGGATCGGATATGCCTTCAGAGCAGGGAGGACGGAGATGAGAGGCAGATCAGCTCAGCCGCCGATTCCAAAGGCGAGGCCGATGACCAGGGCTACCGGCAGTGCACAACGACCTGGCTCAGTTCCTCCAAAGCCACGAGCACGCCCTCGTGACCCTTCCCCGGGAGTGGCAGCTACCCGCATGCGGCCAACAGAGCCCAGCTATCCGCAACCCGGAAGGGATGTGCCAGGATCGTCAACGGATGCTCCGATGCGTCCGCCCGAGCCAAAGGGGCCTCCACCCACGACCTTAGTCGTCGATTCAAGGGGGAACCCTATTGACCCATCGCAGCCTCGCCGACCTTATTTCACACGGCATGATGCGCTGCTTTGGGCTCGCCTCAAGGCATCTCGGGACAAGAACGTTCCCAGAGGCATGGAAGATCGTGCGGTACCAGCTTTTCATGATTTGAACGACTTCCACCTCCTGGCACCCGAGCACGTGGGCTACTTTCTCTCTGGCTGGAAAGAGACCCAAAACGGGATCCGCCTGTACTGACTGCCGCGTCTTGTGCAGTACAGTAGCAGCTAATTCGTTCTCTTGGTTCATTGAGTTTGTTTTCTCCACCCTGACGGGTCGGACATGTAAGAGTAGTTTATCTGGTCCATGTCCATTGTTCTGCCTCCCTGACGGGACGGCCTGAGTAAAGGGCCTGAACTGAAGGGACGTGCCGTGTCAGGAGTGTTGAGATCTTTCTAAGAGCTTTGTTGCACCTAAGGTGTAAAACAGCCTGCATTTCGTGTCTGCAACTTGTTGGTAGCATACTGTACTTCTACTTTCGCCTCTCTTCGCTGCCCTAAGAGGCGCGGGGGGTGTTTTATTGCTCTTTGTACGTATGACTACGGACATATTGTTGCATTGGCTCAAGACAAAAAGCGTGTGTGCGATTCGTGCTATCGTGCACTATCTATACTAGATCCTCCTGGGGTTGTGGGTAGGTTTTCAGCGAAGATCAAAGCGCCTCATCCTCTCGGCCGAGTGTTTAAACGCTCGGCCAGGTAATCGAAGGGGAAGAGGAGGGAACCCTTAATTGGGACCTCTACCCTGTAATGGGTTATATTATATATTGGGTATGTAATAGCTATATTAAGGGTATATACCTAGGGGTCCTTATTAAGGGTCCCTCCTTTTACCCTTGGAGGCAAGGTAAGCCATGAAAATTTTGCCCACCATAAATCCTAACACGGTTTCGTTCATCGGATTTGGTTAGCATCTTTGAGCATATTTGCAGAGGGCCTCTTTGAGCGTCAACTCTGTATTAGGCTAATGCAAGCTTAAGCTTTGAAGGAACAAGACAAATTACTAATACCAATATTTATGTTTATACTGAAACAAGTACGAATACTACTGAGAAAATTGATAATTCCAACAATACTAATAATACTGTTAATAAACATAACAATAACAATAGGAATAATATTCATAATAGTAATATTGCTTGCTGGGCCAACCTAGGCTAGAAGTTTCCGAGCCTCCTAAGGTGTCGAGCTGGAGCCATTTCAGCAGCTCTCTTCGCTGTCCGTGAACTGTGCGCCGAGATATCGGTGGGACTCGAAATGGCTCTTCGGGTTTTGGGCGTTTCAACGTCTAGGGTTTGAGCGCCGTAAACCCCAAACCCTCAACCCTAAACCCTAAACCCTGAAACGCTAAACTGTGATTTTAAGGTTTAGGATTTGAAGCCAAAGTTCTTCACATATGCGGGACGGCACGAGATGTGCCGCACGCTCAGCATCTGATGGTTCTGCTTAAAGGTTCATGGGACTTAATAACTATGGTTATAGATAAGGTATATAACTAGACTTAATAAATGGGTATAAACCCCAGTGAATTAGGGTACTTATAACTGTACTTACTAAGTCCCATGAACCCCCAAGTGCTGGATGCGTTCATTTGAGGACTTGATCTGGGAGTTTCCTTTCAGGGACACTTCAAAATCGCACGACCTGCCTAGTGAGGCCCAAAACTGAGAAAATTCCCGGACGATGGAATGGGGCATGTCTGCTCAGTATCTGTTTCCGCCAGGGTGGAAAGCAAGCAGTCATTCTGCATCCTCCTCCATCATGCCACCATGCTGCTAAGGCTGAACCCCAGGCTTGCCGAGGCTAATATCGGCTTGTATGGTCCTGAAATTGCTAAGAGGATGATGTGTTACCGCACGCGCACATACCATAATAAAGTATTGAAGCCGACCCCTTTAGGTTCTGAAGCTTATGTTGAGGTGCTTGTTGTGGCTAGTACGTGACAGGGGATAGGCCCAAGATCCAGCAGGCACCACTCATTCAGAGTGATTCACACCAGCATCGTGGCACAAGCATGTCGCTACATTCTTCTTCTTCTGCCTTCCTGCTTATCTTGCCCTCCACTGCTCTTCAACCCCAAACCCCAAACCTTCCACCCTCGCAGTACGTCGTTTACCGCCGGGGAGGTGCAGATGACTGTTTACCTATACTATTTGAGGGTTCCTTGCTATAACTACAGTAAAATAGGCCCATCCTAATCATTGAGGCCCCCACATTATAGTACAGTGGCCCTTCTAGACCCACTTTAAAGGAACCCTATTCTAATCATTAAGGCCCCTACGTTACGTCATTTTCCGCCGCGGGGAGGTACGGATGAATAAATTCTAAACCCCAAAACCCAAACCCCAAATTCTGAACCCTCTCCGTACGTCGTCTTCCGCCGGGGGAGGTGCAGATGACACTATAGTATAATAGTCATTAAGGCCCCTATACTATACTACCCTTATACATCCCTTATTGTAGTAACCCTTATAGTAATAACCCTTGTAGATCCCTTATAGTAGTAACCCTTGTGGTCGCATCCCTCGTAGTAGTAACCCTTATAGACCCCTTATAGTAGTAACCTTATAGTAGTATCCCTTATAGTAGTAACCCTTATAGACCCTTCGGGAGGTACAGATGACTATTTCATGACCAGCGGGTTTTGCATCGATGTTGGGCTCTACGACGTCGTGACTGGACCGGCAGCCAAAGAGCTGCGGAAGCGTACTGCAGGGGGGGAAATAGTGATTATAGAATACAATTATAATAGGAAATATACCCCAGAACCCTATTCTAATCATTAAGGCCCCTATACTAGCTTGTGAGAAAGACAAGTTAAGGACCGGAATAGTAGGATCCCAGGATCCCTGTTGTACGGACCACTGAATTTCTTAAGTAGGTACCCGGATCATAGGCTTCTCCGTATTTCGACGCACAGATCTCGAATCCGGTGAGTCGGTTTTCCTTGGAGCTCGACTTCTTCCAAACCCTAACGAGCCCAAAACCTAAACCCTAGACCCCAGACCCCCTAGAGCCCTAAACCTCTACACCGGAGAATTTTAAGCCCTAAAAGCCGTGAGCTTTTGCATTTTTGCATCCGAAGCAGGATGGGCAGCCGGTGAGAGGGCTTCGGCTTTTCATGATGATGTTCCAATTTTCTGGCTTCTACTATTGCTCATAACCGGGCTTCCCAACGCAGGTCCCATACGGGTTTTCGGATCCTTTATGAGGTTCAGAGACTGTAAGGCTCTTGGGTAGTTGCTTTTGATTTATGGGCTTCGTTTGTAGGGATGTTGTACCTTGAAGTGCGGTTACTATAAGGGCCTGAATAGCATAACTGTCCCCTTGTCGTCCCTGCAAACTGTTCTGATATCCCCTTCAACTCCTCATTCCAACGATTAGGTCCCCTACTTTGTGGCATTGGGGTTTGGAGTTGGGTACCCAGTGACTCCAAGATCCCTTAATGAAGGAATATACCTTAAATCGTATTCGGGATGCTACTAGAATTTAAGGGTCTATTCCCTAATTAAGGGATCTTGGAGTCTCGGGGTAGGCTTCAGTCCACTATTTTGGGGGGTTCCTTAGTATGATTATAGTATAACATACCCCCAACACCCTATTCTAATTACTGAAGCCCCTACATTTTAGCACAGTAGTGTTAGCCTTTGTAGACCCCTTTTCAAGGAACCCTGTTCTTTTTATCAGGCCCCTAGATTAGGCCTCAGTCCACACTTCGTGATGCCTGCAGAGGACGGCGCATCAAGACGTTCCGGAATTTGCACCAGAATTTTATCAATATACTACGCCTCTTGGCTTGAACAGAATCTTATCGGTTCAGAACCAAACTTTTCAACTTTTGGGCTCTGATGAGGTAGTCTTCTTCTCAAAGTTTGAACTTTTAAGCCTTGGGGTTTTGGGGAAGGAAGAGAATCCAAACCCGACACCCTAAACCGAATCCCGAACCCTGATTGCTGATGCAGTGCGCACGGTCCTTGGCCAAAACGGTGCTCGAACAGCTCGTTTCTGTGCCCTAAACCCTTTAAAAATCCCGTAGCACTACAAACCCTGTAAGCCCTCAAAAAGCCTAAAGCCTTACGATCCCTATAAACCCTGTAAGCCTTAAACCCTAGACCCTATAATGTAGGAACCTGATTAAGAAACCCTGGCCCTAGAACCCCAATATATTAGGATTCATACCCTAAACCCTAATAAAGACCTATTGTTTCTTCATCAGGTTCCTATATTCCTATAGTACCCTCATAGATCCCTTATAGTAACCCTTATAGTACCCCTTTGAAGGAACCCTAAACCCTATAAGCCCTAGGGCTCATATAAGCAACCCTAGTAAAGACCCAAGGTTTCTTAATCAGATTCCTTATTAGTAGTATAGTACTCTGAACGCTAAACCCCCGTAAGTCCCAAGAGCCTCCGCGCCCAGGCTTTTCCCTTTTGGATCCCCCGAAGGAGCCCTTGTAGTACCCTTATGGCAACCCTTATAGATCCCTTAAAGGAGCCAGCCCTTATAGTACCCTTAAACCCTAAACCCTAAACCGCCCTAAACCCCCTAAGTCCCAAGAGCCTCCGCGCCCCGAGGCTTTTCTCACCGAACGCTCGGGCCTCGGGTGCTTTTGGGATGCCCGGAAAGAGGGCCCAAAATGACCTCGCCAAGGTATGCATAAACAGTGATAAGTATGTAACGTATACCTATATAATTTGCCATATATATATATATATATACATACATACATATATATATATAGACACACAACAAAACTATACCTATATAGGCATGTATGTGTGCATGCATGTATTTAGTTAGATTTTCAGGTGCATTCCTTGACTGAAAGGGAATGGGCTCTCTGTCACTTGCTCGGCTTTCTAATTGCTCCTCTTCTTATGTATCAATTATCGCAGAGTCCATCATGGAGTCCGACTTTCTAAAAATCTCCTTTCCTTTGGGCTCAATACCCTGCGAAGCATGTACGCTGCGATGCTTTCACGTTGAATAGATGTTTTGAGCTGTTCCTAGCAAATCCATAGACCATAAACTCAAACCCCAGAGTCCAGAAGTCCAAACTTTGAGTTTAAATCGGGTCAAACCTGAACCCAATAGCCTATGCAAGCCTTGACGGCCTGAAGTTCACGTAGAGATCTGAACCTCCCAAAACCCTAGCCCTAGTGCATTGAGAGAGACTCCAATATCCCTCAAGAAGAGGAATATACCTTAAATCATGTTGCGGATCCTGCTTTATTTTCAGGTCTGTTCCGTAATCAAGTGACATCGGAGCCCCTAAACCCTAAACCCTTGAGGGAGGGCTCCCTCCTGCCTTGCGCAGTCCGCAGCTCTTTGCAACGGCGTCCTTCGATCACACCTGTAAGGCCTGGGACTGCGGGTTCGGGGTCTGATATAGGGGCCGAAATAATTGCCTATACTGTTTTGACACTGTTTTGGTGGGTTCCTTGTTGTAACTATAGCGTAATACACTTCAAAACCCTATTTTGATTATTAACTTTATGTTGGGGTTTAGGGGTTCCTACAAGGCCTAGGGTTTAGGGGTTGCTAAAGGGTTTAGGGTTCAGGGTTCGTAAAGGGTTTAGGGTTTAGGGTTTCCTTTCGGAGTGGCGAAAAGGGGTGTTGTCAGGACACCTGAACAACCAGAGTTTCCTGCCGCTTTTAGAGGGGTCTTGTAGGGTCGCTTAGGGGTTTCGCATTTTCAGGCATCCTTTTTTGGGTGGTACGCTCAGGTTCTTAGGGTGGAGGGCTTAGCGACTAAATTAGGTTTCTGTTTCAAAAAATGCCAGACTAGGATTTAGGGCCTATCTTCCCTTTACGAACTCTGAATAAAGTGGGAACCTGATGAGCAGAGCTGTCTCACTGTGATAAAGCATGAGTTTGATAGAGGGCGTTGTAACCTTTGTAGCATGCTTGATAGAAGCCTCGCCATAGACACTGAACCCTAAACTCTACCCACTAATCTCAATTTTTAACCCCGAACCACAACCGCAAAACACCCTCAATACTAGCAGTACGCCTTATTGACTTATAGTAACCCTTTAAAGGAACCCTAAATCTTAGTAGTAACCCTTATTGTTCGTCAGGTTTTACAGCCGTTGATGTCATCGGAGCATCCATGGCACACACTGACTTCGAATTGATTGTTTTTCCGCGAACACAAAGCGTTCTAGCCTTCAGTATGTTGGCTTCGCATGAGATCTTCGAATGTACAAGCTTGATCGATCATGCTTAGCTCCAGTGCATAACTGCTATAGTAGCAAACTTTACATGACTCAAGGGCCTATTTTCCGCAGCCTTTCCCTTGGGCCACGGATCGAAAAGCATGCGTCGCAACACACCTGCCGTCGGGAGCTTCAAAGCACCTGCACTCGCAGAAGGATTTCTTCACTCCTCCTTGACCCTGCCGTCAGGCCTGGGTCACATTTGAACTTTGTCCCGACTGAAGCAGCGTTGTGTTGAAAACTCGCTCGTACTCACGAGCTCTTTCCAGATCACGGCCATAATCTGCTGCTTTGTCTGGATCATCAGCAGCTCGGTGGCTGCAGTACTGACAGAGTCGCCTTCTCTCGACTCTCTGCATCGTCCCCCTGTGCCGAAAAGCATGACAGTCATCGTAGACATGGTAGCAATCGTTGTCAGGGACAATATATGTAGCCTCGGCTGGCTCGTGAACATAGCGCAAAATAACCCTCGTAGATGGTCCATGCACCGGGGTAAAAGCCGTTGTTTGGACCGCCGCTTCATGGGTCTCCTTCACGCCTTGTGCCAGCTTCCGGAGCAGCTTCACTCGCTCCTCAGCATTCACATCTCGCTGCTCTCGAGGTGGGTCTGGGAGTTGCCTTCTCGGATGCTCTCTCAGATCCCTGGCCCGCTGCTCTGCTCGCGATCCAACTCGAGAACTCACTTCCCTTTGAATCGCCTCGGCAGTAGCATCCCTTAGCCGTTGTAGACGCCGAAGTCTCCGTTGGTTGGCACCAGGAGATGCCCGATCATAAATCACCCACACAAGATACTTCACCGCTTCCCAGCCTATCACCGCTACCAGGATAGCACAACAAAACAAAATCCACGTCACCAAACCATAGTCTACAGAAACTCCACTTCCATAGACTACGACACCCTGTTCCTCGAACACTCTTTCGCCAGATACAGCCTGTGCCAGTATCAACAGAGCAATTAGAACCTTAGGGATCGGGTTAAGGTGCTGTGTTGTGCTGCTGCTGCTTCCACTGCTTCCGCTGGACTCCTCCTGGCTTGAGGCCACCGAGCACAACGACTCCATCTCATCAATCAGAGCGACCAAGCAGCTCAAAGCCTTCAACCTTGCAGACGACAATGGCTTAGTCAACATATCAGCGGGTTGAACCTCTCCGCTGCAGTGATTGAACTCGACCACATTCTTGGCAATCAACTCGCTGATCCAAGCGCTCTTTAGCCGAAGGTGCCTGGTGCGCCAGCTACATGATCCATGCGCAATTGCCAAAGCCGATGTGCTGTCAGAGTGCATCTGCATGTTGAACATTCGTGCTCCAATGTCCTGTAGCACGGCCTGAATCCCTTGGATGGCGACCAGGCCCTCAACCGCTGCTTCTAGCTCCGCCTCGGCGGTGCTAAGGCTGATGCACGATTGGCGCGACGATCGCCCCGCAACCACATTGCCTGCCAACTGTATTATCCAGCCAGTATGAGACCGGTTGGCATCAGGGGCAAACGACGCGTCCACAAACCCCGTCAAGTAGTTGGAGCTTCCCTCAAACAACAATCGCCTTCCACTTGTTCGCTGTAGGTACGCCAGCGTTTTCAGGCCAATTTCCAACGCCCTCCTCGGAGCTCGTGTTGCCAACGATCCAATCAGAGAGCACACAAACGCCACATCTGGCCGCGTCCTCTGACTCACCCAAAGAAGCTCCCCGGCAATCTGCTGAGCAGCTCGGACTTCCCCCTCATCGTTGGGGGCTTCATCCTCACTGGCTACGAAACTCACCAGCTCCTTCGTGACTGGGACCAAATCTCGCTTCCTCGTCGGAACTTCATGTAGTCGAAGAAGCTCCTCAATGTAGGATCGCTGCGACAAAGCGAAACCCTGGGTGGTCATCGAGATCTCAATCCCAAGGAACCTTATCTCGCCTTCCGTCACAAGCTGAAGAGGACTCGTCTTCCACATCGCCTGGATCGCTGCCGCAAGCTCTTTTATGACTTCGGTCCGCGCACACAGGAGCAAGTCATCAACGTAGACAACCAGGACCCCGATCAAGATCGATCCCTCCTGCATGATTGACCACCAAGAAGGCTCAACACGTCCTTGGAGCAACGTGATCCTCTTGCCATCCACCACCAACTGTACCTGTGCTAGCCGAATGTCCCGGTATGATCCCCACAGCTTGGGGCTTTCTTGCAAGCCGTATACTGCATGAGTCAGCTTCCACAGCTCACCAGGGCGACAGAGGCCGACGCGCACAAGCATCTTTGGTGGTACTCCATAAACAAGTGGAGCTCCTTCAAGGGCACTGAATGGCGTCTGGAGGAACGCCGCCACAATGTCTATCAAGCCCAGATTCCAGTTGAAGAACTTCGCCAAAGCTATAGCCGCTCGAACGATTTCAGCGGGGGCTGTGCTTGCATAGACTTCGCCCGTTTGGTGGGATGCCATGTTGCCGCAGATCACAATCCTCGACTTTCTCTTGAAATTCTCTGCGGGCTGTCCTCCCTCAGGTGGAGGGTCTGGTGGCTTCACGGTGTAAACAACCTTCATGGGAATGAGTTGTCCTTTCCCAGAATCAAGATCTTCCCGAACACCTGGGTCATCGAACATCACTTTGTCAACTGCATGGTCCAGCGAAGCCACTTCTTTCTTCAGAGACTCGGTCCATCTCTCAAACACATGCATGACTTCTTTGGGATTGACCGTGTAGACAACTGACAAAGGCAAGTCCAGCTTTTGAAGGATGTCCTCTACGCCCTCAGTGTACGTGACTTCCGTCTTTCGAACTGAAGGTGTAATCGAAGCTCCTTGGGGAACTAGAGCAGTTTGACATTCTCCTTGGTCTTCGCTCAGTACTAACTGCATCTCCCAATCACTCCAGCTTTCGGTAGTAACAGACGCCACCGCATTGTCCGGAGCCGAACTTGAGGAGCTGCTGGCTGATTTGGAGATCATCCCGTCACACTTGAAGAGGTACTCGCCATCCGAAGTCTCAATCACTTCTTGCCATCCTCCTCCCCTCAGTGGAACCTGCTCCTCCTCGACTTGCTTTCGCGGCGTCACCGAGGAAACAGACAGCGCATTGATGTACACCTCTGGACCCGACTCCCCATCATCAAGAGGTAGAGGAAATCGTAGGTCCCACAACATCTCTTTGTCAATGCGGGGCACCGACTCCAGCAGTCCTGGGGTATAGCCAACTACCACAATCCGCTCGCCCTTCCATGGTAGAACAGCATGACGTCTGTGCGGGTCAAAGGTGAACACACTCCCCTCTTGAAGCGGAAAAGCGCAACCATATCTTGCCCTTCCCTCCTTGGAGATCAACTCAATCACCCTTCCCGACACCACATCTCCCTCACGCAACTCCATCCAGAGTTCTCCACCTCTCCTGGGCATACTCAGCGGAATGATGTAGTTCACCGCCCCAACCGCATTGTTCTTGTCGATGTGGACCTCGCGCTCATTGTTCATCGACACATACACAGCCGCAAACTCTGCATCCGGAGCCCGCTCTTTGAACAACCTGTTCAGCAATCTCGCAAACCATGGTCGCTCGACTGTGGCTTTGGTGACTCCTAGCTTTCCGCCATGGCGAAACATTCCATAGATCTTCTCGTCATCTGGAAGCCCCCGTGCCACTTCTTTCACAACTGACTCTGCTTCCTCCAAAACCCAATCCTTCAGAACGGCTTCTGCTCTTTGCTTGAGCACGGACTCATCGAACACTTCCACTTTTGAGACCCCTACCACATTACCCGATCCAGCTGACTTTCCCCGAACTCTGCGGCCTGGTCCTTCTGGGGCTTCTGCATGAAACTCACCATCAACTGGTCCGGGGTCGTGTACACCTGCACGAACATGAAGAGTATGAACAAAACGCTCACCATCATCGTCCTTGATGTACACCAAGTGGCCCTTGCTCAGGCTGTCCGACAGTCCCACATAGAAGCCCGTATGCCACTTCGGGGCCAAATCGTCGAGCTTTGGTCCTTCGAGGTGTCGCTTTCTTACTAACACCTTTGCACCATATGGAGCCGCCAGCTTCGGTTCAAAACCTAGAACATCTCCACGCTGCAGTGAGGCCGCCGTACTCATAGCCGATGCCCACAGGTGTTGTGGCAGTCCAGCAGACAGCAGCAAAGTCCTCGCTCTCTGCTTCAGCCATCGAATTGTCGACTCAGCTGTCCCATTGGTCTGGTGGACTCCCGCCTCGGATGTCGTAACACGAATGCCCTCCCCTTTCAGCCATTGCCTCGTCGCCTTGGCTCTGAACTCCATGCCACGATCTGAGTGGAACCTGAGCACTGGGATGTTGAGGGCCTTGCAATATAGAACAACATCTTGTACTGCCTCTAGGACCGTAGTAGACTTGTCGTCCTTCAGTCCACATGCAAAGATGAGGTTCACAAGCTCGGGGGCCGAGAGATCGGGATCTTCGTCGTGGTCTCGCCTGGGAGCTTGCTTGAGCTCCGGTTCATCATCCTGATCCCCTCCATCTGGTACAGGAACTTCACCCCCTCGATCCACCGCCTCGCTTGCCAGTCCATCGTCCTTCTCCTCGTAGGCGTCCTTTTCCAGTTCTCCGGGATCGTAGTCCACCCACGCACCACGTCCATCCTCCACAAAGCTCCGCGGGACCTTCAGCTTCGCCGCAAAGATGTACTTGAACGGTTTTGGGAACGCCCCTCTTCCATCAGGATCCACTCCTCCTATTTTGACGGGTCCCGAGAGGTCTGCTGAGAGAACGAAGGCAGAAGGATGCTCCACTCTAGAGTGGCGACAACCCGTGGCTCCTGCTTGAACGCATACGGCACAATCGGCTCGAAAAGGAAGGTGTCCTCTCCCTACATGCTCTCGCCATTGGTCTGCGCTCATCTTCAGCATCCTGGGGATCCTTGCCCAATCTCGCAAAGCCAAAACGACATGCTCCCAAAACTCCGCTGGCCACACGCACGCCGGAGCTCTCACCGGTGGCGGTCCATCTGAGTGCCACCGAAGCCTTAGTCCATTGAGGTGTTTCATCGCAAGGTTGGTGCCGAGGGTCGTATGCCTTGTGAATGCTTTGCCCAGCGCAGCCATGTCGAAACAATGCGTGCTGAGCCCCGCTTCCATGGCGTACTCGGTCCACAGAGTCGTCCTCCAGAAACTCACAACATCTGGGTACAGCGGGTCTTGATACTTCAGATAGCCACGAGGATCACGAGGATGTTCAAGAAGAAAAGCCACTTCCTTGCGAAACTCCGGTGTGAGACTCGATCTTACTCTTCCCGCCGTCGACAACGCATGAAGATAGATCATCCTCGTCAACAACTGGGTTTCTCTGTTCACTTCCCACACATCTGCGTCCGATTGTCCCTCCCAGTTGCCGTACGGGTAGTCGTTGGACCGTAGAGGTTCTGGGCCTCCCACGATGTGCCGGGAGATCATGAACGTACCTTGCGGGGGGCCACCGATGATCCCTGCAATCTTGCCTTTCCTCGCGCCATACTCGAGAGCCCGCCGCGTAGCTGACCTCAAAAGATCGTGGGTTCTTCCCCGCTCGAGATCCAACTCCAACACCACGTACCCATGGCCCTCAAGGTGGTAGAGGTCGCGCTTCTCCGACTTCCCTGCAAACAAATGCACGATCCACTGATCTGACGACCACAATCGCTTCCTGGTCCTCCTGTTCAAGTGCTCCAAGCCCTTTAAGGCTTGCCAACCATTTGCTTCAGGAAACGGTTCCGCCAGGCCAACTTTGCAGGGTCGTGGTACTTCACGTAGAAACGGAGCCGTCTCCACTGCTTTAAGAGCCTCTGAAGAGATCTCCCCGTCCACGTAGGCCAAGAGGTGATCAAACCACGTCTTCTCCATCGCTACAGCCGCAGCCTTGACTTTTGCCCGCGTCTCCGCCGTACTTGTGCGAAGCTCCTGTAGACGAGCGTCTTCTAGCTGCGAAATCAGCTTCAACGCTTCCTGCTCTGTCACCTCGGGACATCCATCTCGGATCCTCAGCGTGATGATCTCGCCGTTTCGTCCTTCGAGGCGGCACTTGGACTTTCCCCATGTCATAGTGTAACCCAACTGGCTGACAAGAGCTCCCAGGGGCACAATCGGAGTTGACGAAGTCGCCGAGGTCAAAGAAGAAACCGGCACAAGGATCGTGCCCGCAACGTTCATCCTGAGGCCCACTGACTCCCCTCCAGCCAAGTTCACTGTGACCGGATCAGCCTCATCCCACTCCTCCTGGGAGGTCGCCCGACGCAGAGCGTGGGTAGCTCCAGAGTCCACCAACGCGAACATGGACAGATCATCCGTGCTTCCGGCCGTCCTCTTCAGCGCCATAACGTTCATAGACGGGGCCTTTGGCTCCGGATGCGGGGCGCCTGCCACCTTCGCTGCCGCCTGAAGCAAACTCTCCAAAGTCCATACAGGCTCACCGGTGACAACTTGGGAACGGGCTGCAGGAGAGCTCTCACCCTCCGGCTCGATATTGCTCACCTTGGGGGCGGTGGTCGTAGATGACGTCGTAGGCGAAGGATGACCCCCTTGAGGTAGTGGTTGTCCAACAGGTGCCCTTATTCCAGGCCTTGGATTCTTAGTTGGGCAATCCTTTTGCCTGTGCTCTTCACTCCCGCATACAAGGCACTTTCTGGAGCGTTCCGCCCTGCTGACTCCACTGAGGTCGTGCTGGTAGGGACAACGTTGACCCCGTCGGCAACCATTCGGCTTCAGGAAGTACTTGCAGACTGGCTTCGTAGATGTAGTAGTCGCTGTAGGACTCGCTGGTGTAGAGGGTGCCCCAGCTCCGGCGCCCAGCACCTTAATGGTTGGTGTAGACATTTGTCTCACCGCTCTGGAAGACACCATAGACTCCACTTCCGCCTGCAAGTGTTGGTGGTATTTCACGACGTCGGAGAAGGCCGGTTGCCCATCAATCCTGAGGCTCGACCTCAGGAGCTGTGTGCGAACGTGAGTGTCCGGGTTCTCCCCAACATACTTCGCCGTCGCCGAAGTGAGCGCCTTGGCAAGGATCGTGCTGTCCGGGATCATCATGTTGAGGTCTTTGCACCGTTGAACCCACCTTGGCCAGGACCGCAACCATGTGAGGGCCTCATCTAAGGTAGAAGGGTGCACCGGATTCTGCAAGCTTCCCAGCACTGCCGATCTTGCTGACGCCCCACCAGGTTGGTAGCACGTGTGGAGCCTGAAGAGAATAAGGGGAGCACTTTGGACCGCACGGCGTGCGATCAAATCCACCCTTATCGCTTCCTGCAAACTCTGCAAGATCATTGAACAAGCCCGTGAGTTGACCCGAGTCCACCGCGTCATAGTCCAGGCTTCGTGACCTGCAGGCTCAAGCTGTAGGCGCTCCAGCGGGGTCGCAGAAAGCCACTTTGAGTAAGACTCCCGGACCAAACTGATCACTCCCGCCCACCATATTCCTGAAGACGAAGACAAGTCCTGCATGGGAACAGCCACCTGCGCAAGCCAGTCTTGAAAAATGATGCCTGCTTCAGCGCTGTCCGGGCCAGGCAGCATTGGAAGGGCCACAGCCCCAGTCTTCACCTGCTCCGGAACATCATCGCCGTCCATCTCGCGCCTCATTGACTTCACCTGTAGCTCTTGGAGGTTGGTCAAGTTCTTCGTCAGTGCCTCAAGGATCGCCGTGGTATGATTATCTTCCGAAGACCTCAAGTTCACACCACCATTCGCACTCGCATCCCTCAGATCTCCCAAGCCAGGTGCCACTGTCCTCAAAGGCGACGATCTCCGCGCTTGAAGTTCCTCCCAGAGGGCACCGAGAGGATCACGCCATGGATCAGTCCGGGGTTCAGGTTGAGGAGCTGGGTCTTCTTGAGATACTCTTTCAGGTGCACGCTGAGGCGGAGGATCTACATCAGGTCCATGTGACATCCCCGAGGTATCCGTCACTCTGCGATCTTGCAGCCTTTCATGCGCATATGACAACTGCTCTTGCAACCTGAGGTTCTCACCTTCGGCCGCCTGGAGTCGATCCAGTAGTCCACCAAGCTGACGTTGGACTTCCGCCTGAATGGCCTCTGCCGGGATGCTGCTGCTGCTCGGAGTTTGTTGTTGGTTAGGGGGAACCGGGAACCCATAACCCCTAAACCCAGCATCTCGAGGATTCCCAGAAGCCATAGGTCTTGCCGCCCCAGTCCCATCACCCACATGCTCACTTGTACTCATGTTCAGTAACCTCGGTCGTGGTGGTGATGGCATAGGACTCGGCAACCACTGCACCGCAGGAGCTTTGAAGAACTCCCCCAGTCTTGTCACCCAGCCTGGGAGCTGGTTCGGTATTCCCGGCCTTGGAAATCCACCTCCAGGTCCGTACGATCTGGTAGACCTCGGAGTATGAAAATCTCTTGCCGCTGACTCATCTCCTCGTTCACTGAAAGATGCTCCACCGTGCACACCGACACCAGGTGCAGCTGACCCACCTCCGCTTGTACCAGCTTGGCCAGTAATGTCCGCGCGAGTCTCTGGCCCCTGCACCGTAGCACTCGTTGCCTCAGCATCCACGCATCTCTCTTCTCTCATGCCACTTTGCGCCGACAAGGTGGAAGCACCAGGCAAGACAGGCGCTCGAGTAGCACCCTCGCCCTCATTTCCATCTCCCCGACCAGCATCTTGCTCCAACTCAGATCCTGTGGAACGCACAGGACCTGAGCTTCGAGCTCCGGTTTCCGCCTCCACTTCCATGCTTCCAGAAGTCCCAGCGGTCGTACCATTGGGCAGCGGAGCTCTCCCATCGCCTTCAGCGGGTTGGGCGCTCATAACCTGTTCGTCAGGTTTTACAGCCGTTGATGTCATCGGAGCATCCATGGCACACACTGACTTCGAATTGATTGTTTTTCCGCGAACACAAAGCGTTCTAGCCTTCAGTATGTTGGCTTCGCATGAGATCTTCGAATGTACAAGCTTGATCGATCATGCTTAGCTCCAGTGCATAACTGCTATAGTAGCAAACTTTGCATGACTCAAGGGCCTATTTTCCGCAGCCTTTCCCTTGGGCCACGGATCGAAAAGCATGCGTCGCAACACACCTGCCGTCGGGAGCTTCAAAGCACCTGCACTCGCAGAAGGATTTCTTCACTTATCGTAACCCCTTGAACCCTAAACCCTAGACCCTATATGTGCCAGCATCTGCGCACCCCCCCCCCCCCCCATCGTATACCCCTCTGCTTCTCCCCCCCCCCCCTGTGGTACCTGTGGTTCCTCTGCTTGTCTCCTTTCTCCCCCCCCCCTGTGGTACCTCTGGTTCCTCTGCTTGTCTCCTTTTCTGCCTGCTTCTCGCCCCCCCCCTGTGGTACCTGTGCTTCCTCTGCTTCTCTCCTTTTGTCCGTCGTGTCTGCTTCCTCTGCTTTCCTTGCTTCTCTCGTTTTGTCCGTGGTTTGTGCTCCGCCGGGGGGGGGGGGGGATACCATTGGGGGGGGGGGGGGGGGGGGGTCGAGAACGCGGAACGCGGGCACATATAAGCCCCAAGTCCCCCCAATCTCTAAAATCCTGAAAACCCCAGACTCCAGAGCACCTAAACCCAGGCTTCAAAAGACCCGTCGTCCCCGAACTCTAAGCCCCGAACCTCAAACTCTAGAGCCCTAAACCCCAAACTCTAAGACCCCAAACCCCAAACTCTAACCCTAAACCCCTGAACCCTAAACCCCTAAAGCCGTAGTAGACCCTGAAGTTTGCGGCAGGTCTGGGACCTCCGTGATCCTTCTCTGAACGCCCAGAAGCCGGTCGCATGCTGCAACACGGACACGTTGAATGTGGCTTTGGCTGCATGGTCAGGAGTTTAGGGTTTGAATTAGGGTTTAGCAATTACTGGGATTTAGTTCAGCGTTTGCAGGTTTAGGGCTAAGGGGTTAAGGGGTTGGGGTTTAGGGTTTTCGGGTTCAGCCTCTAGGGCTTGTTTCATAGGTTATTACCAACCCCCCCGCCAACCCCCCCCCCAGCAGCCCTCAGCGGTGCTGTCATTTCCGTCAAAGCCGGGCAAAGCCTTACTAAGTCCTGCAAAGCCCTAGTAAGGCTTAGCAAGGCTTAGCAAGCATTGCTAAAACTTGCTGTTGCCTAAAGGTTTGTCAGTCATTCGCGCCCTTTGCTCTTCACTTAAAAATCGGATCTCCCAAAATGCAAACGATGTGAGAATCAGGTCCGCTTGAGTTCTCGTTGTTTCGCGAAGCTTCATCTTGTCATTGTACCAGACTATCCAGCTGGAGAAAGCTGCGGCAGGGCAGGGTAGGGTGGGATACGGGTGGGGTAGCAGGCACGCGAAAACGCGGCCTCACCAAGCCTCAGCAAGCCTCAGCAAGCCTCAGCAAGCCTCAGCAAGCCTCAGCAAGCCCTAGCAAGCCCTAGCAAGCCCCAGCAAACCTCAAGACTCCGCAAGCTTCACCAGGCTTTCAGCCCGCCCAGTCCCCACCGCCGCTGCCCATCCGACACAACCCGAGCACCCACCCCACTCGCAAACCCCAAACCCTCAAGACGTGCATTGGTGTATTTGGTCAAGGTTGCTGAGCTTCGAGAGCTATTGAGGGCTGCTGGGGGGGGGGGGGGGGTTGGGGGGGGGGTTGGTAGTAACCTATGATTGTTGCATGGAAGGATTACCATTTAGGGTTATTGTCACGGGTTCTAAGGAACGGTTCTCATAAGAGGTTCTAGAAGGACTATCATAAGGCAAAGGATATCGATTATGGGGAGTCAGGGGTGTACGGGGTACAACACAAACCCCCATATGATATGTTGAAGCAGAAAGAGACGTCTGTTCCTGCTCTCATACTCCCAAGCACACGGACGAGCTGATTGGACCACATGACTAAATCTTCCATTCCCAAATGCTCAGAAATGATCACTAAAAAATCCAGTCAAGGGCAGACAGGGTCCCCTCCTGCATGATGTCATGCCTCCCTATGCATCCGGCATTCTGCCATACCGATGGAAACTCTGAAATGAGAGTTTCCGAAAATAGGGGACCCTTAAGATAGTAACCTAAATAGTAGGAACCTTATTATCAGGGCCCCAGAATAAGGCACCCCTAATTTTCGGAAACTCCCAAATCCTGTCCGGGCTTTCCCAGGTCATGTCGGCGCCTTACATGATGAGCGAACTTCCGACCTCAGTCCGAAGGGCTTTTTGTGCTGGGTGAGGTTGGGGATCGCTTTGAGCTTGGCTTTCTCTGTCTGCATACAACTATCTCCTTAGGAGCTATTTTTTGTGTTGTTCATATAAAACCCAAGTGAATATTAAAACAAGAATTTCACTATGGTTCTAGGTGGGTAGAGACGACAAAGGCTGCCCCAGGGAGAAAGCAGAAAGTCGAAGTCAGGGCTGATTCGCCTCAAAACGTTGGAGTCCGCTTGGCTGCTCCAGCGCCGTCTTCAGGTGCTGCTTTTCACCTGATGATTCTCGGCTTTTGGTTTCTGGCGTCGACGAGGCATCGGGAGATGGCTTTACGATCAGACGGCTGATGAAAACGGAAGGCTGATTTGCGCACTATGCATATCTATCGGTTTTCCTATTTGGTCGATTTGTCCTTTCCTAGCTGTCACTTCATGCGTCGATTTATCTGTTCATCTATCTATCGGTCGCTCTGTCGATCTATGTATCTGCCTGTCTGTCAATCTCGGTGTGTGTATATACATATATGAGTATATATATATATATATATAGAGGTATATGCGTGTATATATATATATATATATATATATATATATATATATCTATCTATATATATATATATATATGTGCATTAAAGATACTTTCAGATGTACATACACACAGGCACTGCATGCACGAAGGTTTACATGCCTGTGTGTATGTGTGTATGAAAGTGAATACTGCTACACATGTAAGTCAACAAATAGTGAGCAAAACACATGTGCATGCAAGATGCAGGCGTGCAGGCATGTATGCACTTATTTGATTTCTTAACTGCCTAATGTATAAGCGTATGTATGTATGCAATTTTGTATGTATGTATGTATCCATGTATGTATGTATGTATGTACGTAAGTATGTATGTATTTTGCTGGCTTTGTTGCTTGCTAGTTTGTTTGTTTGCTTGCTTGCATATGAACGCATATTTTCAGTCGGTCGGTCTGTCTGTGTGTCCTCTCTGTCTTGATTTATTTGTCTGTCTGACTGACTTTCGGTGTGTCTGTCCGCATGCATGCCTGCATGCAATCACCCATGCCTGCATGCGTGCTGCATGCATGCTCCATGCATGTATGACAGCATGTACGCAAGTAAGCGTAAGTATGTGCCTAAGTACGTATGTATGGATGTGTGCATGCGCGAACTGATGTATGCATATACGTATGCACGTACATATGTAATCCTATGTACGCAAGCTCAACAGTACATATACTCACAATGTGTGTATGCATGTACGTATGCATGTGTGCGAGCGTGTATGGTGTTTGTGTGGCGTGTCTGCATATGTAGTTAGTTATGTGCATAGACACGTGGGAGTTTCCGAAACTATGGGGTACCTTCGTTGTGGGTCTTTATAATCAGGACCATACTTTCTAGAGTGCTAAATACGGGGCCCCTATTTCTGAAACCTCCATGTGATCTTGTTGCACAAGCTTCGTTGGCGCCTCCTGGTTCAGCATGGCGTATTGTGCTTTGCCTGCGCTTTCACAGGCGCTGCGACAGTTTGACTTGCGAGAACGCGGACCAGGTGCTGGCTTCAGTGTTAAATCTGTCTCACCTCGTCAACACAAAGCCGCCACGGTTTTGGAAGTTTTGCATAGATCTCCATCCTAGGTGACTTAACCCAAGCTCCTTAGCCTGTATGCATCCGTACAGTATAACCCTTGTAGAAGCCTTCAGCTAAGACAGCCTACGTTAATGGCCTTAACAAGCAATCTGTAAAACCTTGTACCAATCAAGCTTAGGTTTCTAGAGCTGCCTCTACCAAAACAACCAAGTCTCTAAACCTCAGACCTAAACCCTGAACCCTGCAACCCTAGACTCTCAGCCCCAAACCCTAAAGCCCTACCCAGACCCCAAAATCCCAAACCCCTAAAACCCTTAAACCCCCAAACCCTAAACCTCTGAAGAGTAGTTCTCTAAATTAGGGTCCCCTTGTTACAAGGCTGCCGTATTATTCTGGGGACCTAAAAAGGAACCCTCACCAAGAGAACTACCCTACAACCCATACAACTCGGACTGGCCTCGGACAGAGGCTCCAAGTTCCCAGTGCCGGCCCTCGGAAGCGTCTTGGAACCGTTTTTTTCAGGACCTCGGTATCTCAAAGGTTTCCTTGGAGGGTTGAGTTAAAGGGTATAGGGAAGGCTGCAATATGGGATTAGTTTAGAACTGAAAGGAGACCACAGGTCTCAAAAGAGGCAACCCAAGGAAAGACCCTGCCTAAACACAGACACGGCCTAAAACCCGAAACCCCCGGGGACCCAGCCTCGTAGTACAGCCGCGGCTTTTCGCGACTGCACAGACTCGTGTGCCTTCCACGGCGACGGTCGTTGGCCTTTCAGCACGAACTAATTGATTTACACTGATTCGAAACTTCCTCCTCCCTGAAAGTCAGGTCGAAGGGGGAGGTAATCATACTCCACCAGTCATGGCCCTTCATAGGCTTAGTTAGCACATCGGCCAACTGTCTGGTGGTGGGTACCCAAGCGAGTCGACCTAAGGGCTTGATGTCCTGTCGCACCGCAGCCAGGTCTATCGCTAGCCTACGATCACACGGGATGCGCGGTATGCCCTCCCTCGTGAGGTGATCGTACAAAGACCTACAGTCACTCAGGAACCTCAGCTTGATGTTCCCCGTAGTCTTCCGCTGGAGGGAGCCGCGCAAGAGCGTCTCCAGGAACTTCTCGAGGTAGTCGCCGCCTTCCACTGCCATACAACACGCCATCGTCTCCGCAGCGAAAGTGGAACGGCAAACACGCTCACAGGCTCCACTTTTCCAGTCGAGGACACTCAGGTAGCACTTCTGGCCTTGGAGGATACCCTCGTTCGCTAGCACGTAGATGCACCCGAGCTGGGAGGCTATTCGGGAGTTGTTCCGCTTGGTTTTCCTCGGTTTGTTGAGGAAGGGTCCTTCCTTGAACACTCCGTCCTCGTTCTCCTCCTTGGTGAGCTGATAGACGGGGTCGTCCTCATCTTGTGGTGCGTTGGCCCATCCGGCGTCGTGGTAGCACAACAAAACGGCCTTATCGAGGTCGATGGGGTGGAAGTAGACCCCCTCCTTCTTGTGCTCGTACGCCCGGCGTGCGACCAAGTTCGTGAAGCGCACGTCCCCAACAGTGGGACACTTTTGCAGCTGCTGACACATTGACACGCTGGCTTGTAGATCGGGACGTGATTGTCCCGCTAGCCACGATAGGGCGCCAATCAGGCTCCTGTTGTCAGCGAGCTGCTCGTCAGTAGCCAGCTCTTCGTCTCTTTGGGAGGCCTGGACATCGACCTGGAACAGTCGGGATTCCACATAGGATTCCTGCGACACCTTCACGGCCTTGTCGTCGAACTCGATGAAGGATCCAATGTACTCGAAAGCATCCGTCTCCCATCCGTCGATGGGAAAAGCCTTGGAAAGTAGATCTTTCACGCTTTGGCACACTCCTGGTCCTCCGACAAGCAAGACGTCATCCACATGGACCGCGATGTAGGCAATGGGCTCGGAGTGGGAACCTTCGATCACCTTCTTCACGAAGAACACGCAGGGATCCAGCGGGCACTGCTCGATCACACATTCAGTCCCATCCTCGAGGACCGGTTTGAGGGTGGTCACGTCGCCCTTAAACCGTTCCCACCAACTGTGGGGTGAGTCCACGAGGCCGAAGATTCCCTTCTTGATTCGGAGCAGTTGGGCCGGGTGTAGGTTGCCCAGTCCGGTGCGCGGCTGCTTCAGGTAGAGCTCTGGTTCCAGCGGACCTCCGTTGAGAAAAGCGGCGGTGATGTCGCCGGCGTAGGCCTTCCATCCATCGGCCAAGCGTGAGGCCAAGATCTGCATCAGGAGCATGACAGATTGTCTGGAAACCGTCGGAGCAGTAGTCTGGAGGCCGTGGGCGATGTCTGGATCCATGTGTCCTCCGATGACCAACCTTGCCTTGTGGCGCCAGGGCACGTCCGGATCCTTCCGGCGTTTCGCGTAGGACTTGTCACGATACGCAAATCGTGACTGTAGCACCCGGTCCCTCTTCTCGTCCATGATGCGGAGGCTCTCTTCGACGCTAAGGGGTTCCAAGGCCTCGTGCTCGATGTGCTCCATGTACTGTTTCTGCTCCGCACCCTTGAAGGCTTCGTGTTGCTCCTGGGGTATGAGGTTCCATGGCAGCTCTTTTTCGAGCTGTTTCTCTCGTCCCCTCGCCGTCTTTGCCCTCTTCAACATCATAGCTTCGTCAGGTTGCCCGTCAGGAAGAGACATCTCCTCAAGGATGTCGTCGAGATCGGGATCATGGTCGGGAAGAGCTTGGGGAGGAACACGGCCATCTGGATCCTGAGGGCCCTTCATCCGATAGCGTTTGGCTACCGGTCCAAAGAGAGGGAGATGTTGGCTGTCGCGCACCCGACCGCCTTCGTCAACCTCAATCGCATCTCCGTCATCTCCTGGGAAGAGGACTGGGTCCTCCTCGACATCGTCTCCTTCGAACAGGACATCGTCGGGGTTCACTTCCAAGAGCTTCTCCAAATCTTCCTGCGTTGACTTCAGCGTGAAAGTCTCGCCGATCTCTTCGCTCGTTGCCCGCCGGATGTGCTCCGGCGCTGTAAGGTGACAACGTCCTCCACGGGAGAGCCATATGTTCGAGCCCTCGTGCCCTATCACGGTGGCTGGCCCCAACCAACGCCAGAACTTCTGGTTCTTCGCCTTGCGGTAGAAGTAGACCAGGTCCCCGACTTCAAGGTCGGGTCCACTGACACGGCTTCTCTGGAGGAGGGCTCGTCGCAGTTTGGCGTCCGCCTGACAGCGAAAGTACGTCTCCTTGGCGGCAGTCCTTAGAGCATGTTCCTTGGCCCGTTGGCGGTCGTGGGTGATGATGTGCTCGAACTGTTCCGGGTCTCTCCCGGAGAGAAGTTCTCCAGGAACTTCCGGATCTTTCCCCCAGACAGCCTGACTTGGGCTGAATCCATTCTTCCTTCGCAGCTCGTTCATCGCGCTGTTCACTGCAGTGGTGGCGAGGTGGATATCGTCGCTGCCGACAGAGTGGTCGTCGACGATCCGGTCCCAGATTTCCTTCCACACTCGGATATGTCGCTCCACGGTGCCTTGCTGCCAGTGCGCCTGCCCGGCGGCCGACCTCATCTTCACCCCATAGAACTCACTGTAGCGCGCGAGCCCGGCTTGAAGACCTGTCTCCAGATCCACCGCGATCGTCCCAGCGGGCCCAAACACGTGACTCCATCCTTCACAGAAATCCTGTTCCATGGCTTCGGTGCTGTGGCCGCGCAATGGCACCACTACTTGAAAGGATGTCCCGTAGTCGATCATCATCATGAACTCGTGTCTCTTTCCCCAGGCATCGTAGGCCGAGAAAGCATCAACCCCGACAACCTGATTGAAGTCGAGGAGCGTTGGAGCAGCAGAGGGGCGTGCACTTTGCCCCCGTTTGTTCCTCGCGCACACCTCGCAGCGTAGGCGCTTGGCGGCTGCCACCACTTCGGGTCCTGCTCCCGCTAAACGTAGATGCCTCCCGAGGTCCTCATAGCCGATGTGTCCCAAATTCTGATGAAGCCGCTTCAGAGAACTTCGTACTTCCGGCTTGATGGTGGGGCCCGGAGTGAAAGAGATAGCTGAGCTCCCGTTGTGCTTGGGTTCCGGGCTTCCGATCGGTTCATCAACGGCGAAAACTGTGTCGTTGACCGCCTCCTTCTCAGCCTCCTCACGCCGACACAGGTAGGTTTGTAGGGTTCTCGGTCCCCACTCTTCCTCGACTGGAGGGAGCAAAGTGTGACCACAGTTGATCTTCACGTAGTAGGAGTCCCCTTTTGTTTCATGCTTCACGTCCTCTAGCTCTTTGAGGGCTGACTTGAAAACTGAACTCTCGAGCATCTCCGTGGCCCCGGTTCGTGATTGGAAAACAACCTGTCTCCCTTGGGCGATCTGCTCAGAAAGCAACTCGAAAACGCTCGGGATGTGGTCGGAGACATGGCAGCTGTGGATCCAAACCGTGCCGGGCTTGAGCTCAACGATGGTCTCATAGACGTCGTTCCACACGGCAGGGTCGTTGAGGTCCTCGTCGATCAGGGGCTCGGCGGTGAAGAAGTTGAGCTCGCCCAACTCCAAAGTCTTCGAATCCCCTCCGATCTCGAGGAGTGCCACCGAATCCTTGCCCCGGCCCGATGGGTATTCGGGCAGGAGGTAGCTCGCAGTAGCCATCGAGGACCAAGTCGCCAACGCGGCCATGCGTTTGACATTCTGCCAGAGCTTCCTTCTCGAGCTCTTCTTAGGTCGGTTCTTCTCCAGTACGGCGCGAAGCCGCTGCAGCTTTCTCAATGGAAAACGTAGAGCTCGAAGTTGATCGCATTGTTGGGTAGTAGCTTCCTTGAATCCACGGGTGGTGAAGCAGGTGAGGCACCATCGGTCGCCACTCCAAGGTTGAGTGGCGTGCTTGACCTTGGAGTCAAAGAAGTAGGGCTTCCACCTTGTATCAACAATCCTTCCGCGAAGGACCTTTCCGGTAGGATCACGCCTCTCCACACACTCCTCTGGACGAACATCCTCGTCGTGTATCCAGAGCTCGCCACCGGAGAAGTCCCCGAAGGACATTGTCACATTGAGGACGCCGTTGAGGTTGTGGTGGTCGCAGTGTACCTCGGTGGCCACATTCTTGTTGAGGGCGAAAGAACACCATCCGTAATCATCTCCGGTCCGCTCACGAACGTAGGCATTGACGTAACTCACAAAGGAGGGAAGCTCCTCGCTGAACTTGCTGAGGCCCGACATAGCACCGTGGGTCCAGAGCCCACCGAGGACGCCCTCGACCTTCACCTCCTTGCCGCCGTAGATCTGCCGGTGACGTTGTCGCTGGCGTAGGTCAAGCGTAGTCACCACCTCCAACAGGTCTTCGTCGTTGAAGGCCTTGTGCTTGAGCTTCTTCTGGGCGCACGACTCAACTTCGGATATGTGGTCTGAGGAAAATAGGCACTCTTGGTACTCATCGAGGAGGTTGGGATCACCGGGAATCCAGGCCAGACGGTCCTCCCTACTTCCATACGGCTGGACATCGAGACTTCCTCGTAGTAGATCACGTGGTAGATCGCCTCCGTCTCCTCGTGGTAGATCGCCTCCGTCTCCTTGCGGTAGCGCATCAGGACTTCCTTGTAGTAGATCGCGCGGTAGATCGCCTTCGTCTCCATGCGGTGGTAGAACAACGGGACTTCCTTGTAGTAGATCACGTGGTAGATCGCCTCCGTCTCCATGTGGTCGAACATCAGGACTTCCTTGTAGTAGATCACGTGGTAGATCGCCTCCGTCTCCGTGTGGTCGGACAGTAGAACTTCCTTGTAGTAGATCGCGCGGTAGATCGCCTTCATCTCCAGGTGGCGGGACCTCGGGACTTCCTTGTAGTAGATCACGTGGTAGATCGCCTCCGTCTCCATGTGGTCGAACATTAGGCCTTCCTTGTAGTAGATCACGCGGTAGATCGCCTTCGTCTCCATGCGGTGGAACATCAGGACTTCCTCGTAGTAGATCTCGTAGTAGATCGCCTCGACCTTCTCGTTGTGGATCATGGAGAGGATTGTGCCAAAGGCCTCGGAGGATCTCCAGGGGCTTTCCCAAAACGCTTCGAAGATCATCTCGAACCTCAGCGAGTGACGGGAGTGCCCCAGCGTAGTCGGCATCACGGTGTGTGGGGGGATGGCTGCCGACCGGCGGCCCCCCACAGCCCTTCCCTCTCACTGGTTGTTGTCCTCGCCTGCGCGAGGAGCCCGAGCGAGTCCATGTCGATCTCGGATCACCGCAAGCCTGGTCTCCAGGTGTTGGATCTCGTCCATCACTTCCGCGTCCATTTCTCTGGCCTGGAACCAAACTCGCTGCTCGCAGAGGAGGTCGGCAGTGGACGACGGTAGCCTCCCCCGGCCTTGGCCTGGGAGTGGTCGTGGGCCTCGTGCCGGTGGTGTTGTCCTTGGGCATCAGTACCCAGCTCAGGGCCTCGGAGTCCTCGGGAACATATGGTGTCGTGGCGTTCAGCTCTGGGTCGTCCTCGGCCACGTAGCGCCTGGGCTGAGTCGACTTCTCCAGATTCTTCTTGCACCAACTCGCGTAGGCCACCAAGTCCTCCGACGCCGTCTTGCTCGATGCGGCCTCCGAGATTGCCCAACGCCTGTAAGAGAGGGGCGTCTCCGTGAACAGGCATCCTCGGTGACGTCCGAAGGTCATCACCAGTTGTTGGCCCCCTCCGGCTTGGTCCCGGATGAGGCGTAGCACGCCTCCCTTCGTTGTTCCCGGTGGAACCTTCACGTTGAGGTCCTCGGCCATCGTGATGAGCTGAGCCAGGGTCATCTTCGACACTCCGGGAGGGAGCTCTCCCGACGTTGCTGAACTGGTAGTGGCCTCGTTCTCCAGGTCGTCCTTGATCATGTCGCGGATCTCCGGGACTGTCCATCGTGGGTTCACCCACAATCCTCGCGCTTGGGCCTCCGTCAACAACTCGTCCTTCGTGAACTCCCAAAGCCCTTTCGGGCGCGTCACCATCGGCGCGGTCAACAGGGTCCTCTTCGGAGCCATTTTCACCGCACAGAGGTAAAGGATCGCAGGGATGCATGGGCTTCCTAGCAAAAACGGTTCTTCCGATCCAGAGTGTAGCGTAGGAAGGACAGGCAGTCACCGACTTCCACAAATCATGCTGGGATGACAGCTCACGACGATCTCTGCATGACACTCCCCATGTGTTGCGAACTTCACCGAGTGTTTCAAGAAGCGCCTGCTTGTGTTCATCATGTGGTGTTGTCCAAGCGTTGGGATCGAAAAAGGTTCTCCTAGGTATGATGTGAACTCGTACGAGAGAATGAGGCCCTTCCACCCAAAAGTCATTAGTGATATTTGTTGTCTCCCACCAGGCAATAAACGCATGAGCACACAACTTGTCCCCGAGAAACATGTTTGTAGTGGCCTTCCCAATCTTCTTAGGAAAGAAAAGTCTTCGACTGTTGGGGCCATAGGCTGCTGCAGACTGGACTTCTACGTCAACTCGTTCCTGTGCAGGGCTAGGATCCGAACTCATGCACTCGGCTGCAAAGACCGTGTATTGCGGACGCCTCGAGATGATCTGGATCTCGGCTGCCTTCCACTCCGGTTGAGTGGACGCTTTGCCACAAAACTGTTCAGGGCGCACAGTGAGTGCAGGGTGCCCCGTCTCAGTGACATCAAGCTTGAGGCCTTCGACCCCGACACTGCGGAAATCTGCCTGATTGTTAGCGACGTCCAAGATCATGCCGAGCTCGCCGAGGACGGTCCTGCTGAGCAGGAGAGGCACATCTCCATTCACAACACATACGCGGATCTTCACCAAGGCATTCCCCAAACCAAAAGAAACCACAACGGCGTACGCCGACTCGAACACCTTAGAGGCCCCAAAACGGAAAGCGTCCCGGGTGTTGAGGATCTCCGGCTCAAACCCGGCCTTCTTAGCAGCAACAAAGTAGGCATCCATCCAGGGGGCCCCTGCAACCGTCTTAGAACAGGCCGTATCGGTAATCGCCTGGAAGCTGCTCCCCTTGTCCTGCTCGATGTCCCAGGTGACGTGCACGACGTGGCACGGGAAGTTGTCGCGAGGGCCATTGTTCTTCGTAGCGGCATTGCCTTGTCCTGAACCAGGCGCGGGTTTGGTTGGAGAGCCTGTGCCGCCAGTCCCTTCGCGAGTGCGCCCTTGGTTTAAGGGGCACTCCGGGTCCTTATGCCAGTGCCCTCGCCTCTTGCACCCTGCGCAAAAGGATCGCGCTTTCACCAAGCGCAACTTCTCCGCCGCAACCTTCTTGATGGCCTCCGGATCCGATCCTCGCATTCGCGAGCTTTCGCGATACTTTTGCTTCGCCGACTCATGAGTCATATACGTCTCGTAGAGCTCCTCCGCGACGTCCTCCGGCACTGCGTCGTCCTCATCGGCGGCGGTCTCGTTGCCCTCATCCTCGTTCTCGTAGTCGGCCACATTCGCTGTGTTGAGGTTGCGCTTCCACCAGCCCCCTTTGTTACCCCGGGCGGCGGGGTTTGTCTCCCAAGGCTTGCGCAGGGCCCTGTCCTGCACAATCGCAGCACGCTGCAACATCTTCAAGTCGTACACATTCCCCACGCTAGCCAAGAGGTTCAACTCCGAGGCCTCGTCGAGGCCCATTCGGTCCACAAACACCCAGGCGCAGGCTATATCTGGTAACCGACATCCACATTCAAGTAGCCTAGCGTACGCTCTGTCGAACTCGCCGCAGTAGTCCCGGATGCTCTGGGAGGGCTTTTTCTTCAGTCTCCTGAAGAACTCCGAGAGGCTCCTCCCGACTTGCGTCACCTGCACGTCCAGGTACCGATCTTTCACCCATTGGGTGAAATACTCCATCCCGCTGGGCGAAGCAAGGCGATCGACCTCGAGCCTCTCCGCTTCCACCCAAGCGGGTCCGCTCAGATGCTGGTACAGCACCAAAGCCTGCTGTTCCTTAGCGAGCTTTGTCATACGCTGCCATGCAAGCACCTGACGCAGGTAGGATCTCGCTGAGCTTCCCAAATCATCACCGTCGCCTTCTCCACTGAAGCCGGGCACGATCAACTTTTCGGAAGGTCCGCGTCCACCCGCCGTTCCCTGATCATGCGGCTGAGGGGGTCGCTGATCGCTGCCATCTTCGCTTCCGTGAGAAGGATGGTCGTCGGCGTCTCTGCCTTGATCTCGTCGTGAATCGCCTCGTTCGTGGTCCCGCGTTCCCGCCGAGGTGCTCGTCCATGAACCTCCCCAGCTTCCGCGTCTTCCCCATGAGTCGTTGCGACTCCATCGGGCAGCATCGTGCCATCGGGCGTCACGACCGCTGGGTCGCCATACCCATTCTCCATCTTGGTCATCTGCGTCCCAGTCTTGCCACCCACGCGACTGGTCGTCCTTCTGCCAGTCATCTTCGTCATCTTGATGCTCCGTCGCAGCCGCCGGCTCGCCGCCAGTGTTGGTTGCCGCGCCCGAAACATCGTTGTGCCAAACCCCGTCACCGTAGAAGCTAGTCGCGGCCATCGCTCGAGGCCGACTAGAGACACACAAGACCCCAGAAAAAACACCCCAAAGGACAAACCCTGAGCGCACAGCGCTCCGCTACCAATTTAGAACTGAAAGGAGACCACAGGTCTCAAAAGAGGCAACCCAAGGAAAGACCCTGCCTAAACACAGACACGGCCTAAAACCCGAAACCCCCGGGGACCCAGCCTCGTAGTACAGCCGCGGCTTTTCGCGACTGCACAGACTCGTGTGCCTTCCACGGCGACGGTCGTTGGCCTTTCAGCACGAACTAATTGATTTACAATTAGGGTGTGGGATAGTTTGGTTTCAGGACGGTATCTCACGGGGTTCCTCTGAGGGTTGAATTCAAGGGTGTAAGAAAGGCTGCAATGTGGGTTTAGGGTCTGGGATGGTTTGGTTTCTGGACGGTATCTCACGGGGTTCCTCCGAGCGCTGAATTAAAGGGTATAAGAAAGGCTGCAATATGGGTTCAGGGTCTGGGATAGTTTGGTTTCTGGATGGTATCTCACGGGGCTCCTCTGAGGGTTGAACTAGAGGGTATAAGAAAGGCTGCAATATGCGTTTAGGGTGTGGGATAGTTTGGTTTCTGAGGGTATCTCAAGGTTTTTTGAGGGTTCCATTAAAGGGCATAAGAAAGGCTGCGATACGGGTTTAGGGCGTGGGGTAGTTTGGTTTCTGGACGGTATCTCACGGGGTTCCTTTGAGGGTTCCGTTAAAAGGTAGAAGAAAGGCCTCCTGTAAGGTCTGTACATGGGTATACCTTACGCTGTCCTGTCATCACCAGACTAGTGCTACTTCCAAATATCCCTAATTTAGGGCTTACCGTTTAGGATATGGGGCTCTGCCTGGGTAGGAAGAGTATTCCTTAGGATTCCTTATGAAGACTTCTATACTCGCATAATCCTCAACACCTTATGTCTAATGTCTTCTCTAGGCTCCTTTTCTCAAGCCTGCTCTAGTAAAATCGAAAACCTGATGCACATGCACCCGACTCCTCAGGTTCCATTAACTACCGCCGCTCCCTGTATGCCGCTGGGGGTGAAGTGGCGGTAAGCTCAGCTTGCTGCTTGAAGCTTGCGCCATCGCGGTGTCCTTCCAACCCTACACCCTAAACCCTAACGGCTGGTTGCAAAGCGTTGCTGAGTATGCCGCAGGTAGCGACAGTCGCCACCAACGAAAGCTCCCAAGCTGCAAGTGCCGATATCAAGGGGAGGGCTTTGGGGGGGAACAACCAATATACATATATAAGTATATATACTTTATATAATAGTAGAATGAACAATAACCATATAATGATGGTAGCAAGACTTTGTAGCAATAAACATGACACCATACAAATCTTTAGTAGTCATCGTATTTATCATAGTAATCATCATTAAAAGCAGTTAACAGCAAGAATCATCTATACCGAAGCTATTAATACAATCATGTTGATTGCTGCTATTAACACTGTTGCTATGTGTTGGTATTGTTATTTTAGGGAATGCTGCACGGCCTGGAAGCTACTTGTGACATTTCCACGATGTTCTGCGAGGGTCTAGGCCTGGAGATGGGACATGCAAGCCCAGCGAGAGAGAGAGAGAGAGAGAGAGAGAGATAGATAGATATACATATATATATATATATATATGTATGTATGTATGTATGTACATATATGTATGTATATTATAGACTGTATTTCAACCGCACCTACACTAAACTGTCTGCTGCACGAAAGAATCTCTCACGGATGGCAAGGCTTGCTGCGACTGTACGATGCGGCCGCACCGCATAAGCACCGTGCTCAGTTTGCAAAAGTTGCGACCTCCGAGATCGGATTTAGCATTTCACCCCACGCCATTGTACCCTGAAGCCCCAAATCCTGAGAGCCCTAGAACCCTGAAGCCCACGCATGTAACTGGCATGTGGAAGTGCTTGATATCCCCAGTACGATCGACCTGCCCGTCGGACTCATGCCAGCTTTATATATATATATATATATATATATATACACACACATACATACGTGATAGGTATATACGTACATATGCATATGTAAACATATTTTTCTATATATGCATGTATATGAATATTTGGAGATATGTCAGGAGTACTACAGTCGTGCATGTTGTTCTCAGCACTACAGTAGCATGATTTGTGAGGAACATGTCTCCGCCCAGAGGTCAGGGCATTCAAGTCGGGACTTGTCTGCCACCCCCGTCTCTCTCTGTCTCTCTCGCTCTCTCCCTCTCTCTGTTTCTATAATGCATGCATATATGTATAGACACATGTATACGTGCATGCATACATACACACACACATATACATACATGTGTACATACATATGTAGTGCATGCCAACACCGGTAAGATGGATATCCGAAGGCCCGTGACGGCGGCAGCGTACGTAGGGTCTCCGGATCTTGACTGACTAGAATGGTGGGGGCCATCCGTAGTGTTGCTGGCGCATGTTCGTACATACACTTAGAACATGTTTCAACGTATCTCAGATCGGCATGGTTTCAGTGTAGTTGAACTAGTTTCACACTGCTGGCGTACTGGAGTCCACAAGAATGCCGGGACTATTGCTAGTAAGGCTGCTCCTCAGAGTGGGTGATCGAGAACAGCGATGCGTGTTGCCAACATGTGGGTCGACGTAATCCGCCAGAGAATGAATAACCCTGAAACAGTTGGCAAGATGGATTTTCTTTTTGCTGTTCATGCCTGATAGTAAGAATATTCAGCACGGGTGAATGCTCAGCTTAAACTTGACTTGTGGTACTGTTGCGGCCACCGGTGAAACAGTGGCGGCAGCAAAAATCTTAATGTTACTGACAACAACGGGAGGAATGGTAGTAATCACATTAGTACTGATACGACCACCAAAAAATTTGGACAACTACACTTTTGCAGAAGTCAACTCAGATCGACGTGTGACTGCAGGAGTCTGGGAGTGATCGACTTCAGGCCTCCTTCAATGCTTGGCTCGACGGGTGTATTCAGCAGGGCCTTCAATTTTTGTGTTCATTCGCATGCTGTGTCGGTCGGGGAGCCTTTGCTTATTTCGGAAGGAAGCCCTCCGGACCCTACATAAACCCGAACCCCGATTACCCTACACCCAAGTACCCTTACTAAGCCGCAAACCCGTAACCTTATCACTCTGAGAACCCCATTACCCAGGCTGGAGCCTGGCTGCTTTAGGGTGTAGGGTTTAGGGAACCTGAGGGAACGCAGGGTTTGGGGTTGGGATTCAGGGTCGTGAGTGCAGGAACATGCTGCTGAAGCAGAACCACCGCCAAGCTCACGGCACAGGCCCGGCAGGGTGCATGCTCGCTACCTATGCCTTGGACTTCAGCGCCTTTGTTTGGATAGACTTCGTCTTTTGAGGGAACCTGTCAAAACAGAAGACAACCCAATCCTGAGCTAGAAGTCGGCGAGCGGATGCCTCTGGAATTGTCTGGTACAGTCCTTAGTTACGGGGATTGCGTGCTAGTACAGCTGCCACAACAACTGCTACTACTGCAACATCAACTATTGTTTCGGCGGCGACCACGACTACGACCTCAACGGCGACGACTACTACCTGGACTACAGCTGCCGCTGCTACCACTACGAGGGTTCCACAATCCATCGAATGGCACAGAATGAAAATCAGTTTATGGTTCAAACACGAAGGGCACACACAGATATTCAAACATATGCACACACACACACCACTTATGCACACATGGTTGTTGTTTATCATCTGGTCGGCATATAGGTCAGATAGACGGGTACATAGACAAACAGATAGATAATTTGATAGGTAGATAGATAGTTAGCGGGATAGATCAAACACGTAGTAAGGAAGCTAGATGGATAGCCAGATGGATAGATGGGAGGAGAGATACATAGGTAGATAGGCAGCTACTGTACGCAGCTAGATAGATAGCCGGCTAGATAGACGGATAGATAGATGGATACGTGGATAGATTCGTGTGTTTCTTTAAGGGTTTTTCGGGATTACAATACATATGTGAAAACAAGTAAGTAAGTACGTGATTCTATGAAGCGACATATACATACATACATACATGCATACATACATACATACATACATATGTGTGTGTGTTCACACGTAAATAGCTCGATGCATATACATATCTATCTGTATATAGTTCTGTATAGAATGCGCGCACACACATATGAATATGTACATACATACATATGTACACACGCATACATGTAGAGGCTGAGTATCTGCAAGGGACTAATGTGTGTTTGAGCGAGAGAAAGGGGGAGAGACAGAACGCAACATAGAGTTAAAGAGACAAATAGTCTCCAGATATCTCCGATATTCAGCCCTCAGAATCCCAAATCCTAACAAATCCCTAAACCCCCAAACCCTTAAGAACCCTCAACCCTATGACCCGAAGACCCTGAGGCCCTAAACCCAGAATTCTTGCTTTGGAAGAGCGACAGCCAGGCCAGGCTGGGTGCTTTTTCCCCTGGACATCATCAAGGCCTGCGGCGGGACTCGAGGGTTGAAGGGTTGAGGGGCTCCGTGTGGGGAATTCCGAAAATTAGGGGTGCCTTTAATAAAGGGTTACTATAAGGGTACTATAAGGGTTTCCTTCGCAGGGCTCTATAAGGGTTCAGGCTTGAGGGGCTCCGTGCGCCCAAGAGACTCCAACATCCTTCTAAAGGGGTCTACAAGGGTTCGTATAAGCGATCAAAGAGGGTTCAGGGGACTCCAATATCCGTGAATTAAGGAATACCCTTTGAATTGTTTGTAGTAGGTTCCCTACTATGGTTTAAGGTATCTTCCCTAACGAAGGGATATTGGAGTCTCTGGATGACTGTCGCTTGTGGAGACAAGCGATATATTGTCATTACAAGAGCAGGCTTTATTGTGTTGGAATTTTGGGGTCTTAGATAGGGCGGGTGAACAGTTTGAGATGGCAAGGCAGGAGGCATTTCCGTGGGCTGAAGGTTTCTACTTGAGGAAGTCAGGGACCCAAAAAGCACATAAGCATAAGC